CATCGACGTCCGTTATATAGTTACCTACTGATTTTTCGTAGTCTGCGAAGAATTGTACGGAAGAGGCTTGCTGCAGTCAGATTTCAACATGTAACCCATTTCATCTCTAGTATACATATTTAGAGAAGATTAAACGTTACAAATAATACATGATTCATTTTATTACTCAAATATAATAACTTATTACGTTTGTTTCTAAAAAGTGTTTATAATATTAGGCTGCAGATATGTAAGAATAATAATGTGAATTTCTCTTCAAATGTAAGTAGCTTTCTTTCAATAAGTTAAAGTAGATGATCATCGACATATATATGTCCAATGTTAGGAATTAAATAAAAAAGATATTTGAAATATTTCGATGATTTTGAACGTACTTGCATCGAAGTGAGTTCCTGCAATAAACTACGAGATCGAGGTCCTGGTATTTCTGTTGTTACTATAGGTTTTTTTGGTTCCTCTACGGATACGGTCAAGCATCTCTTCCAAGATATTGCATACCCTAGGTGATTCCATAAACAAGTAATTTTTATTTTCGTTTCAACAAATTCTTGTAGTGTCCTATATTAACTTAGCATTGTTAAGTAAGAAAGAGAATATAAACTATGCTCGTTTCATCCTCTAAATATCATAATGAGAACTTTGAATATTTTTGCATATTTATAAATGTATAAAAATATTCAGTTTATTTATCAGTTTTTCAAGTGAAAATATGGTCATGTTCGATATGTTTTAATTTTTTCTGTTTAAATATCAAATGTAAGATATCATGTAAGATTTCACTGACGTTAAGATTCGTTATAAAGTAGTCTAGGTCTAGCGTAACGTGTAACGTATCGACTTCAATCACGTTATTCACAACCCCCGATTTAATAGATTGAGCGTTTAGTTTTATTGATGTCAGTCGTGGGTAATTGGTTGTCGTATTGACGTGCTTTTGTTCCAACACACTTACACCAGCAACGGTGTGCCCAACGTTCGTTTAGCTCACAATCATAATCATCTTCGAATAAATCAATTTCTCATCCATAAAGGTTTGTTTGGAGTTTCGAATTGGCTGATATCTCTTCTTTACTTACCAGTTATAATACCTAATCTTGGATCGTTGTTATCGCGTGCAATTAACTCGTGTCTTTTGCTATTTTTATCATAACTGATAACGATAAATTTTGTATCGCCGAAAATTTCGAAACCATTGTGTACTTGGAGGATTATTTTCCGTACGTTGTTTCGACGAATATGGTATAATATATTATACAAACATTACTTTATTATTACGTGTACCTATACTTATAGCTGTTTTAAATAAAATATTTTTCAAGGTTTTATTTCTTTTTCTCATGCTTTTAATCAAACCTAAAATCGATGTTTAAATAATCAAGTTTTTATACTTTGTCGACTAATTGTACATTGTGATAGCGATCATTCCCGTCTTTGCTATACACAAGTGAATTAAAACTAAATTTTTGACGATGTCGATTTATTTGCATGAAAATTGTACATCAAAAGCAATTATTTACACTTGAAATTTATCTCTGAAAGTATAAGGTTATGAACAAGTTTATAGCTGTTTAAGAAGAGTTCACACATGTAAACATCGACGATTCGTTCAATTGTATGATATTCTCGATTTTGATAAGATAAGAAGTGAAATGGGCGTAAATAGCTTTTTTTACATACGAAAGAAGTACATAACAGAAGTGTAAAGGTTAAGGTAGGGATAATAGAGGCTTAAAGATCATCGTATATTCAATCTCCTTTACTACGAAACATATATATACATAATAAACGTGATATTTGTTGAAATAATTGTCGAATAAACGATACTCAATTCGATCATCTTTCATGGGCACAACTCAAGTTTCGACTAGAACAAAATGACTATGAGTAATATATTTCTACAAAATATATCATAATACGATACTTGGATACTTGGATGGTATGGTACTTGGATTATCATTCTAATCGATGTTTGCTTTGAAAGACAAAACGTTTTAACGATAAAATATTCACATCTCGTAGAAAACACTCCTTCAAAGATACTTTCTATTTTGCTACTGTCTTTTTTTGCCTATTTCCATAGTTTATTGAAAAAAAATTAAACACGTGGTTGTTAAGAGAGGAATCTGGGAAAATGTACATGATTTCAGTTTAACATAAAGTTGTTAAATTAAGTTTTTAATCGATCAGGTTTTCGTATGTACTATGTACTATTTGTGTATACTTTGCGAAGGATTACTAAACGGGGGGAAAAAATGTAACATAATCATTGTCAGAAAATAATAGAGAAAACCGTAAAAGAAGGAAATTGATGGGGGAGAGCGAGTTATCGATTTTCTAAGTCTATCGGACTGGTTTACTGTCCGAAATGGCTGCTAGCTATTTCTCTCGCATCGTTTCAATTTGGTTGTTAAAGACCAAAGAAACAAAGAATAAGTGGACGAAACAAATGGACATGGAGACAAAGTCATCGGAATGGAGAAAAATACGGTCGTAAAAATAGATTGTACCTTTGAACAACTGCCGTGAAAATTTTTGAGTAAAGAGCGCAGTTTGACACTTGTTAGCGAGCATCTTGCGTGTGGTATTCTAACACTGGCCTAAAGGTTAAATTTCGCGAGAAATGGAAAATCACGCCGAATAAAACGCTCCCTCGAAGGGATGGATTCGGACTGGTCACCGATATAACACTCTGCAGATCCTTGCGCAGGAAATGTTTGATCGTTTCCGAGACTGTACGAACATTCACGAGCTAGTTTCACTTTGACCGCGAACTTTTAACTAAACGTCGCGCGCGATGTAATATCGTTTGTTTGTTCGATACGAGTTCGATCTTTTCGAGTATTAGTTGAAAGATAATAACGAAAATGAACGAAACAACACGTGACACATACGCGCTTGACATACACCTACAGATCAGTACGTTTAATTATCGATAAATGCTTGCAACGTTCAACTTTCATCCCTGCAGGACGTCTTCGAACGAATACGGACATGTACGAACTTTCACGATTGTTTAAAACTAATGGCGGGATCCACGGTACTCTCGTGATCGAAACTCGCATCGTATCGCATCACGTTTAGATAATTATAGTTTATGATCGAATGAAACGATCCGAATCGTTTTTGATTTAAATAATTTTGCATCGTTTACTCATTGTATCGATAAAGTTTGTCTTAACGGAGATTCGTTTTTTAATGTTGATATCTTTAAAAGTCGACGAAACACGTAAGTGTCGGTAATGTGTCAAATGTATTCTCTTTCTAAACGTTTCTTTGCTGTTTGTCTCAAGAGACAAATGGAAGATGGAATAGGTTTCGTTCAGTTACTAAATTGAACAGTATACCGGATTTTTGAACAATATATTTGTTGTGTTACGTTGATTATGAAAATTAATTCGATAAACGATTCTAAATTAAATGGTAGATAGACCTAAAGATCCCCACTTATGTGTGCGATTCTTTACAAGTTCCCTCTATTTTATAACGCTAGATATACGTATTATTATTATTTAGTACTAATATACTTTAGTACTAATAACTAGAAAGATGGCTACGTAAACATTCAAGAAGTTGGCTTTCCCTCTGCGCAGTTAGCGTTTGCTTGATTTTAAAATGCCATTGCGTTTCGTGCCACGAATAAAAATGGGTCTGTCAATTGTTGCGAATAACGACTAACCGAATAACGAAAGTGAAAGTAAAATTTCTGTGCTTTTCTTAATGCACCGCGTGTTACTTACGAAACTGGCTTGTTACGAGATGAGGTTAATTTCGATGCAGAGCCAATTTCATCTGTCACACTCAAAAATCTTGTACCAATATTTGCATCGTTCCTGACCTCTTTACCATTACATATTTACTTTATCGTATTACTATCCTACTTACTTACTAGAACGCGCATTCTGCGATAATTCCTTTTCACGAAACAATCGGGATTTATACAATTTATATCATACTTATTCTAATCGTTTTATTAATTACTCGTATTAGAGCTCTATCAATTAGTAACTATCGAAGACGTTAATTAGTTAAAAAAATGGTAGGTTAACCCCTTAACCTACAAGTACGGGAATACAAGTACATAGCCCGTAGTAGATGATCGGACCAAACGTAAATAGTACGATGATCGGGCCAAATATAATATGTAATATATAATAGCTTGTTTACGTTTTCGACCGAAAATTTTCGAACGTAAATCGTAGGTTAAGGGGTTAAAATTTGTCATTCTTAAACTTTTCTCATAATTCGCAAAGTGTAACAAGTAAATTTTCAAACATCAGCCTGCTCTTGGACTAATTGTTTATATACACGACATATACGAAAAAATTTGATAAAATATAAGTAATTTGTAAGATTTTTATCTATCTAGTAGTTTGAATATCTTTTTATAAAAATTGAATTTGTTAAACAACTGTATTACAACTATCGACTTGTAGATACTCGGTACAATAAATATATCGTGCTAAAATAGTTACGATGGAAGTGATTTAATGAAAATACATAAATCGATACACATGTACATGCCTATCTACACATACGTAGATCTCGTCTCAATAAAAATCAGTATTAATTTTTCCAAAAGAGTATCTACTTGTTTTTGGTAGTTACAAGTAGAATTTTAAAAGATATTTTATCAGTTTGGTAGTTTTAGCGTTAAATGGGTTTAATTTAGCGTGTTTAATTTAATGCATTTTAAATTCGTTCGATATTTTGATCTTATATTAACACGTAAAAAGACTCTGCAAATTTCAAAACTCTGATTGGGAATTCGAAAGTCGACGATCTTCAAGTTGAAAGAAAGTTATTAGATGGATTTTCGAGCGTTACTTTGTTACACGCATTATTCTAATATTATGTGGCTAAAAACTACGCCTGTTAGTCCTTTTCTCCCAAGAGCAAATTTATATCATACTGTTGGTGGTGGTGGTCAAGTTTTTCGGCTATAGCAACCCACGCTGTATCGTAGGAGCACTATTCGTTCGCGCCAACGCATTCGAGTCTGTTCGTTCGGCTGCGTTACATCGCGACCACTGTGCTGCCTCTCTGTACGTTTCGTTCAATTATTCAAATTAACACACCTTGCACACAAAATTCGAACGAGTCGATTTCATTTCATTTATCATTAAATAGTCTACGTTTCTCTCGTTTCGATGTTTCAACGTTGCAACGTAGTGGATAGTTGAGAAAATTCGAAAGTGATTGTCGAATAGGAAATTTCTCCAAAGAACATCTCCCTTAATTTGGTAAACGAGTGACCTAGACAGTTTTCACCTATAGTTTGGCCATCGATATTAAAATTCCGATCACGCGGCCACCGGTAAGTATCCTCCCGTTCTTGCGGTACCGATTGCACGTTGCTTATTTTACGATCTACACGCGTAATTTCACCCGGAAGAAAATGTCAAAACGGTTCCTCGCTATAAAATTCGAACATTCGAGTCGATGAACATCGATGTCACTGGACAACCTGTTCGGTGGAAATGACGGCTCGTACGCGGGAAATACGAAAATTTCAATATCGACGAAGAAAACTTTTTTCGAATATATTATTATTCTGCAAAATTATCTGATAATTATGTCCGATGGCTGTACGTATAAGTATCTATGTATCACTTGCTAATAATATTATTTTTTACCAGAAACATTTAACATTCGGTAACGTCCAATAAAACGTTGTCTATCCTGTTTAAGAACTGCACGACCGAATAGATTTTTTCTTTCCATTAACAAACTAAAATTCTCCATTAACTAAAAAAGCATTGGTTTTGGATTTCTATTTTATTTCTGACCTTGGTAGAAACCTTGATTGAAACCTTGACTGAAGAGAACCGTCGTTCCTTTCTCTCATTTTTGCTATTTTGTCCCGATTTCGATACCTTTTTGACGTTAAAATTAACTGAATGCAAAGATGACGGCAGAGGTTTATCCGAGCAAAAATTATCTTTCTAGAATCATAAATTTCATATTTAAACGTGAAAATATGTTAATACGTGCTTAAAGTTCTATACATCTGGAATATGATATAAATTTTTCTACGGTTCTACATACAACTCGGTTATTCGAAGGCGACCTTACCTTATACCTTTACGAAAGAATCATTGATCGAGTGATTTCAAATTCTCAAAGGATGAGCTGGAATTCATTGTTCGTCTTTATCTTTCGGTATCTTTTATCCACCGTCTATTGTCACCTGAAACACCTGTTCCACGAGAATTGCGTTCAATAAATATTCAAAAGTTTTCAGAAAAAGGAGACATTGTTTACGACTTTTTTACGCAATATTTTACGCAGAATTTTGCAAACGATTATAACAATGTTTTATCATGTTGTTAGGTGAGACTTTTTAAATTCAGTTAAGAAACCGTATTATGTTATTTGTAACATTGACGAACCCCTCCAGTATTGTTTCAAAAATTGGAAGAAGTAGTTATGTTGATACATACAATGAATTTGACGAACTACATTATTATGTGATTATTGTTAAAATCAGTCTCGCGCATGAGAGAAAAGAGGGGCAGCGTAGTACAGGGTAGGAAGTAGTAATGGTAGTAAAACAAGTATCATAATTATCGTTATTAATGAAACATCTGAGCGAACTGAAACGTAGCACATAACCATACAAAATTATATCGGCGATAAATCGCATGATTCATACGTGTATCCAAATTTTAACCATCGTCAACATTCAGCAATGTTTTTAATGCAAAAAGTCAATGTTTCTCTCAACAATCCTCCAACCTTTTTCTTTTCTGTTATCCTTCGAACGTGCAAACTCGCAAACACTAAGGTTACGAGTGAAGATTTCGAATGTTCTTTCCACGATTCGATTACTATTCCATTTCCTCCAATTTCCATAACTCGGATTTATTATCTATCTTTATCTTGTAACACTGATCAAATATCTCTTTCTTATTTTTTATTTCACGGATTTGAGAGAAAGTCGCAATAAACGTGTAAACATAATATCGATATCGTATTAATATCGTATTAATATCGTAATACTTAAAGAGATCTAGGAAAAGATGTTCTTTTTTGTCTACCAGATTTTAAGCTGAAATTTTCGATAACAATTTAAATTGCTTTCGTTCTTCATAAGTCGTACGATGGGATAAGGAAAACTACTATTTTTCCGGGTACTATTCGAGATTTTAAATTCTGTAAAAGTATACCAATATTATCCTTGATTACGATGATGTACATAAATAACAAATATTTAATTTTTACAATTTACTTTATCGTGGATAGAACTTATAGATGTGGCAAGTTTGGCAAAGTTTCGTAGCTATTAAAAAATATGCGATTATTTACGAAACGTTGAACGCAATTATCATATTTCTTCTAGTTACAAGACCAAAGACTAGATTAGTCCATCTTTTCATATATTAAAATAATTAAGTTTGTTTGTCTATATTTACATTCTTATCTGGTATATATATACATGTATGTCATTTGAAACTTTATACGAGATATTTTCAGTTTTTCAAATTTACTACTTAATTTTGCATTGTATATTTAAATAAAAGTTATAAATGTTTTGATTTCTGAAAAGGTAGTTTTTTTTTGTAATATTAAGAAATAAATGTATTTTAGCTACGTTATTCGTTAATTTCTTTAATTCAGGCATCATTCCAAAACCAAAAGATACGATATAATAGCTATATGTAAGTACCTGCATACATGGTTTTGCTTACAATTAGGACTTTCAAACCATTTTATAATGTTACCTATCTTATATAATATTTACGAATATAATACAATTGAAAAATAAAATTTAATTATAAATCTTTTTTTAGCCTTAATAAATTCGTCCTTGAAGAAATCAAATTAAAGTCAAATTCCAGATCGAACGTTGGACGTAACGAATACCGCAAGATGTTATTTATATGTATGTTTTTTTTTCTTACCGAATTCGAAGTTTCGATAATTTCAGTATGTGTGCATACATGTGAAGAAAAAAGGAAGAAACCGTTGAACCTGTCTTTTTTCTGAATGTACTTTTTAAATTGCCTGATAGAACTACATAAGTACGTATGAATATATGTATATATGCATACATGTATATACATACATCTATACATGTTCACCCGGATCGATTCTAGTTGTCATGGCTTTCTTGTTTCGCTTCATGGCTTTTATTTTTCTTTGGTGTTGAAACAGTCATCAACCTGTTTTAACGCGTATATATTTCTTTTTCGTAACCTTACTTTTACCATAATTTACAACGAACTTCGACAAGTTGCTTCCTCGAAATGTTTAAACTTAATTATTATATATCTCTATTATCTAACAATGAATCGTAATTACGTATACTCGGTAATAAAATAAAATTGAAACTTTACAAAGCACACGATTGTAATTACGTCATACTAGCTGTAATCATTCAGTTGCTCTCCGATCCAATCGTATTTTTTTATCGTTAAAAAGCTTCTCAAGTTCGAGAAGAAAGATGAAGAAATTATCGGTTATACGAGTGATTTCTCCTTTCAATTCATATTACTAAGTTTTTCTTGTGTGTTTTTGTTTGTTGAAACGAAAGCAAGCTTAAACGATGCCCGATAGTGTCTAATTAAATAGTGGCATTAAACGATATATCCATTTATCGTGAAATATTTCAGTGATGATTTTTTACCTTACCGTACGATATGTATACCATTTACTGATATCGATTTGGTTTAAACGGTCGAGTAGAGGATGTTAGGCCCATAATAATACGTATAACGAGATACAGTATCTTTAAAATTATTTTTCAATATACGACGAGATAGGATGCATTTTGATCGTCAGACGCGTGATCGGATCGCTTGGTAATCATTCAGAGATCTGAATCGTTTGCTTCGAAAACTAATTGACTGTACAATCTTTTTCATTGCTTTACTTTCTACGAAGACTTTTCGCAAGTTCAACGGTTCGAAACTCTATTATTCAGATAGTTGCTTACATTCGACGGGATGTAATTTCGTTTCAATCAAAAATCACAAACAAAATGACCAAAAATTATTTCAATCTTTATTATTATATGTATTAGTATATGTATATATTACGATGCGATAATGCATTATACATATTGCAATTATGCAATAAGAAAATTGACATCTGTACCCAAGTGTCGAACGTTATGGAGTAATTCTATTACTCGAGAGGCTCTGTACCCTCGGATTTTTTCATAGCTTTCAAACTATTTCATCGGATACCATCGTAATATTATTAATTAACAGTAATAATCAAACTCGGTGAACACATCGATGACGCGTTACTGTTTGCACACATAATTCTTTATAAGATAATAAACGTTATACCGCATCGGCTGAGACATTGTATGTAATGTAGACGTTAGAAAATTTTAACTGATTATTACTAGTAAACTTGTAATGCCCCTCCTAATTTGTATTTTCTTTGTGTATTTATCGAAATATTTCCCAACCCTTCGATTATCTTTCGCCAGGGACGAAGAAAAGTACAATCGAGTTGAAAATAGCCAGCGATTTTGTATAACTTGCGGAAAATAATTTACAAGGCAGTAACCTTAAATTATCATTCAGCGACATGAAAAATATCCCAGGGTCCGATAAGAGACATAAGTTCCTTAAAAACGAATAAAAAAAAGGCTGGTTAACCTTCGTCGTTTCGGAGAAAGGTGCCACACCGATTTATCTCAAGTCATCGAATTCCGTTGATAAAAGACAAACGTAACGATAAATTAATATTGAAATTGAAAGGTACTTTGCACAATTCCGTGTAAGGGCATCGATTTCATCATATATGGATAGAAAAAGTTTTAATCACCAGTTATGCCAGTTATCATTATTTTCTTCAGATTGATACGTTTGATTATTTTATATTAAACCTGTCGTTACTTATAAATCTTAATAAAATCATGGTCTTTAATGTTTTTGAGTATTTTACATTTATTCTATCATTACGTCTTATCGTGTTTTGTTCAATAATATAATATCGATGAATATTAATTGCGCATAAACATGTACGTTATGACAAAGCTGGCAACACTTTTTAGATTATTTCATCTGTCGTCTTGTCTGTTTGAAATTACGATGCTATTACTACGATGTTTCCTTATAAAACGATTAAATTACATCCTATAATAGTAACAAAAGTATGCTTGTTCAACATTTATGATGTTTGATTTACCGTACGCTAGAAGGTATCGAATTTTAGATACGTGTGTATATAGATTTTAAACTCGACTGTTAATCGTCGACATATCGACTCGCAAAGATAGTAACGTTCGATCGGTTTAATGTCAGTCTAAATTTATGTTAATTTCATTCGATATTTTAATTTAATGATCATTATATCCAATATGTACACGATGGTAGACACAACTCTGATACCGTGGACATTAAATCTTTGAAATACGTATTTTTCACCTGTACCGTATTATTTCTTGCAACGAAATGACAGAATGTGATTAAATTTTCTTTTACAAAAGCACACAACTTTATATTGCATAGAAATAATGAAATAGACGTTATAGAAGCGAATAAGTGCGTACGACAAAGTGATAATTAAAATTATCGTAGGAACATTTTAAATAACTTTTGTCTATACGTGTAACCGCCACTCGAGTTTAGTTTTTAAGTTATAAAGCCATTTACGTTTAATACTACATATATGTAAATTTATTTTATAAATTTTTGTTCTGTAAATAACTTCCCAATGACGGTAGGTATATTTGCTGCATTTTTCAGCGATCGAGGATTAGAATAATGTGCGACATTTCATACATCAACCGATTTATAAAAAATGATTTCATTCTAACGTTGCCGGAAACCACTCTGTCCCAACGCTCCAATCTATACTGTGTATAACTCACTGATCCTCCTTTTTTACGGTATTAAAAATGGTTGTCTCTCTCGTCAATAGATTCGGATCAGGTTATATAAAAACGTGGTTGTCTACTCCAGAATGAAATGTAACGATAACTTAAAAATTTAAGATTTTTGCGAATACTTTGGAAACTAAACCCGAGCGGTAGTTGTATATGTATAGTTGTTCAGAATGCTGACCTTGATAAAATATCTCGAAATAATTGAAATAAAAATATTCGCAATAATTATCGACAACACGATTATTAATAAAATCAATTTTTAACGAAATAAACGAAGGGAGTGAAAAAAAGTAGAAATGGCGCAAATGACAAAATCTTCGTTTTAAGAAAAGAACAGAAAAATTTATATGCTGCTGAATACGTATTCACAATGAAATATAAATGTTCATAAAGACATAATTCGTTAAAAGCTCGTCTAAACATGATAATTAAAAGCAAGTCTCGTGTATGTTTCCTTATATTTATCTCGTGTATGAGAAAAACCTACCTGCACCACATTTTTCTATCAATCGCCTTAATTCATAAAATATTTTTTGACTTAAAAATGTCGATATCGCGATACGATAAACATTTCATTTCAATTGTAACCTAATCTGATTGTATATTCTTACGAAAGATTTTTCATTGCTACTACCAAATTCAAGGTCTAAACTTTATTCACAATCATCACTACGACATTTATTTTTCCAATGGTAACATAAATAATCCCTTTGTAAATCAAAACAGAATTTTACGGTATAATTAAAACTACTATGTAAATAGACCTTGTAATAGACTATGTAAATAGACCTTCTTTGAAATTTCCCAACAGTTGAAATCTCTGCACGTTCACGTCCCCTGTTTCGATGAACACAGCGCTAAGGACATCTTGCTTCATTCATTAATACGAGTATTACGATCTACCAGCGCGATATCATATTATTGTTACATTATCGTTGTTATCATTGCAATAGAAATTTGATTTTTTCGAAAACGAAATTTCGAAAAAAGAAATTTTGTTCTAGACTTTCGACTTGTCTCTGCATGTAAAATAATCATTTGCCCATGCGATCTGCTACAGTCTGTACATTTTAAGAACTTTGGCTAATTAAATTAGTAATTATGGTACATTTTCAACGGAAAGAGAGCCTAAGAGAGCGGAGGGGGGAGGGGGGGGGATTAATAACAGAATGATTCATAAATGCATCTAAATACTTCAGGGGATAAATCTGCACACGAAAATACGGATGAAGTTGTCAAGCTCAATATTTTGAATAAGTTTCTCCTATACGTAGGAATAGCAGCATTGCGCGGCGGTCGGCCTTAGTTTTTGAGGTATGCGCACACATATTACACATACATGGTACACATTACACATGCATAGTACACATAGCGCACACAAGCTGGGTTGGGTCAGTGGTAGTATTAATCCGACCGTCGCGCTGTGGAGATTTAATCCGGATTTAGATCGTGATGGCCATGCAATGGATCCATCTCATCCTATCCATCAATTTGCAAAAGTGCTATTAAGAAATGTTTTTACCATAAAAAGAAAAGAAGGCGAAAACTTGGAACATTCCCTTTGATCGCCTATAACTTGAAAATTAAAGTACGTAGAATATATGTATTTTTGTATGGAGGTTTATTCCCTGAGGTATTGAAATGTATGAATCACCCTGTATGAAATAACGTTCTAAATAATTTTTTATTTTATGACCTGTAAATCTTATTTTAGGTGAACATGATTAACAGATATCGGTATCGCAATATATTTTTTGTACTATCCTGTTTCTTTCTTCAGGTAAGTTCCTTGTTCAGATATTGTTCAAACATTGTTCAGATACACGTGTGTACACATTTGTTCACATACGTATACGTATCTATACATGTAATACTTGCCAATTCGTTTGATTTAACTCTTAAAAAGATTTAATCGATTAATAGGAAAGTTAATACGTTTATTTCAATCGATGATAACGCATATAAAAATTATGCGATCTTATTGCGCATGTGTTTCATATTTATTTCCCAACTAAATTCAATTCAATTTAATATCATAAAAATAAGTTTGTTTCATTTTCATATTGTACAATATTTTTAATATTTTAATGTTTTATATTCCTCGTTTTGTCTGTAATAAAACAGAAATATTTATAGTTATATAAAGTAATGACTTTAAAGGTTCCGAGTTGCATTCATGTAAATGGTCATGGACGTTTAATGGACCCACCTGCACGGAATAGTATGTGGCGTTTTGGATATCCGAATCCTGTAAATTACAATGACAATGAACTCTTTTGTGGAGGTTATGCAGGTTCGTCGTATTACAATGATTACCTTGTTCTGATATAGCGAGTTCAGAGAGACCAACGGTATAGAATCCTGTTGTACGTACACGATGAACGAATACATTGAAATTCATATCATATTACACAACGTTACGTTTAAGAGCTTACGAAATTAAAGAGCTCGATGTAAAAACCAGTCGGTTGATCGCTTTTCAGAAAGATCGACTTTTCGCGTCGGTTCAATATCGTTGCGACCACGAATTCCTTCTGACAATTCTTTGGCAGGCATTATTAGGTAATAATCGGATTATAATTATTATCTTTGCAGTGCAATGGGTGGAGAATAAAGGCCAGTGTGGAGTGTGCGGTGATGCTTATCACTTGAAAGAGCCGAGACCACACGAAGCGGGTGGCGAATACGCAAAAGGCACTATCGTTAGACATTACACGGTTGGTCAGGTAATTCCTTCACTCTATGCCTCGAATTTTCTATCATAACGAAGCTAGATCGATCGATGACGGAGTCGAATATATCGTTCAAATCTATAGGATATCGACGTCGAGATCGAGCTTACGGCCAACCATTTAGGAAGATTTGAAATGTATCTTTGTCCAAATAACAATCCAAGGCACGTAGCAAACCAAGAATGCTTTGATAGGTAATCAAAATCTTTTGACGATATTGATTTATCAGTACCAATTTGTAGAATAGGTATGTGAAAACGAATTAGTTGATAATTATCAATAAAATCAGGATACTACAACGATAACAATCGTCTTGTGTGCATAGCTATGATAGGGGTTGAGCAAATTTTCGAAAAACATTTACACATACATGTTATACGAAATACGTACATTAATTTTATATTATTTTTGCACTTGTATTTTTTACTGTATTCTTTATTATTAATTATACAGCTTACTACAATTAGACTGTAATATATTTAAAACCTACGATGCTCATTTTCCTACATTTTCATATTTTATTTCATCTGCTTGCCGATATGTTTTAGGTATCGTTGCGTTTTATCAATGTACTAGATGCTACTACATTATACTAGATTGGCAATATCTTCATCGATAGTAACTGTTACTAAGTAACAGTAAAGTCTTTACAAATTTCACATTAGGACATAATATTTATAATCATATTACGATCAACTTTTTTCAAAAATCTGATACTGTATACGAAACATGTTGTTGTTTAAGATATCCGTTATATATATCGGGAACCCGAGACGTCCGATTTGAGATACCTCCAGACACTGAAAGAAAAGCTATATTTCGGTATAAGGTAACTTTACCACCGTATGTTACCTGTACGCAGTGTGTGATACAATGGAACTATTACACTGGTTTGTATTTTTACATTTTACAGAAATATTTGCTTACGTCAGTTTCATTATACCGACTTATAATTAGTTCTAGTGTAATTATATACTATCCTCCGAATTTGAGGAAAAACTATTTGAACCTATCTAATGTATAGCGTATATACATGTATGTATGGCAAAAATCGGTATATTTAAAAATCTCATTTGTTTTAAAACTGTAATTGTATTGTGTTCCGGCATTTGAGTAATGTCGAGAACGTAGATTTTTACTCGTTAGCAACCGATTAATTGATTTTGCAATCTATGAATATTACGAATGCTATAATACATACATGTTAGGTAATATGTGGGGCACCTGCGAAAATGGAACCGAAGCTAACGGATGTGGAAGACCAGAGACGTTTCGAAATTGCGCTGATGTGAGCATCGTTACTAGCACAGCCGGAGTACCGCCGCTCTTTGTACAGCAGGACAATCCCTTTTTGCTCTATTACAAAGACTATCGTTCTCCGAATAACATATTTCCGCTTGTCGTTAGGTAATTATAGTATTTTTTTAATCGAGGAGATCTGCAATTAACAGATGTAATATTTATTAACCGGTGTTTTCAATTGTAGATCTCAGGTATGCATGTCCACTCACCTTTATCGGCGTATACCAGGAATGAATGACTGGTGTCAAACCAACTGTCTTCGCTATCCGCCAAATTGCCCAACAGCTATTTGCCAATGCCCGTAAGTTATCGCGAACGAGTCTCGTACATATAATAATTACACATTTTCTAGTGAAATAATAGTTCGGCATACTTAAACCAAGAATTTCATCTTAACTGGAGTACCTCGTTGCTGGCCACTTTGTAATAATTATGCGACGATCGTGTTTGATTTCCCAACAAATGTTCGCAACTTTTTCATCTCCTTACTTATCTCCTTTTCATGTACAGGCTGTAAGCAAATTGTTTGTCAAGATCATCATCAGCGTTATTCTACATTAGTTTGGATACTGATTATTACATATTCAGCGTACTGACGTGCATACTCATACAATAAAATTGTTGCTCCTCGTGAAGCGAGTAGAATATGACGCAGTAAAAAAAATTTCACTTGGTATTTGAAAATAAAGGTCAATTTCGCGGCTACTTCTTTCGTAGATCCTCACCGATCCAATGGTGTAGAATAATGGTTTGACAAATAATTTTTTTACATGTCGCACATACGTAGTATGTGTCGTCCTGGAATATGTTGCAAATACTGTCTTATAATAATGTTTTTAACCAAGTATACTATTCAGCTTAAAATATTAAGTCAAACCAATTCAGTTAATAGCATATATATAAATGTGCATATTTTTATTATGCACATATATATGGTATTTACATTTTCCATTTGTATCAAAGAAATTTATTTTATTTTATACCGTGATGATTCGTGCGTCTGTCGATACTCCCTTGGTTTATTTAACAAAGAATAGTTAGTTTATCGACAAGAGAAATTTTATTAAAAAACCCATAAAAAATTGCATTCTTTATTTCTAACAGGGAATTGTGTGACGCGATTGGAGATATTGCTGGCAAAGACGGTGCAAGCGTTTATTGCATGGATAAGTGTTTAGTATACCCTTCCAATTGCCCCTCTCAACGTTGTCGCTGTTATTAGGCAAATTTCAATTACGCGCAGACAATTTGGTGCGTATGGAATTGTATCGTGAATCTTTAGCTCTTATTCGACGATTAACGATTAACAAAATGATTGTAATTCGATAATGTTTATCAATTTTGGCAGAAATAACTGGAACACCGTTATGTCCATACTTGAAGTTTATTGTCAAGTGAGAAACTTAACTAAACAATTGTAAATGATGACGCAGAAATGATATCTATGTTGTAATTTTATCGAATTTGACATTTGATTACGTATAGAAATATGACTGATATCTATCGAAAAACTGCCACCACCGTCCACGAGAGCTATTCCATTTACTTTGTAACGATCTAATGTTAATGCTTGATAATTCTAGTAATCTCTTGATAATCTTTCCCATTTGTGTTTTACGCGATGAATAAATATTTACATAATGTTTGGTCCTGTTATATAATATTATCGAAAATATGTATAATATTTATTAGAATAAGGAGTAAAAAAGAAAAATTACTTGCTCCATTACGATATTGTGCGTTATCATTATCATTAGTATCGTTAGTTTCATTTGTATTTTTATTATTATTCGTTTATTTAGTATTAAATAATTACACTCGTTATGTATGAATATTACAAATATACGACATATCCTATAGGTATGATTAAAAAGACTTGTACGTCTACTTTTAAGATTAATCTTTATTTCGAAGAGGAGATGAAAAGCTTGGAAACTTGTCACTACCCTTGATCGTTCTCGATAAAAAAGACAAAAGAGGAGATGTTAGGAATATTCAAGAGAACACAGACTTTAATCTCACTATAGTATATTTAGTATTAGGACATTCTATTGACAGCTTAAAATATTACGTATATATTACATATTATATATATAACGAATAACATCTTGTTTGCTTTTATGCATACGTGTACATATGCGTGTATACGCATACATACCTTCGTACGCGTAAATGCAGTTACATTTAACGAAACGATCATTTATTTAATTACATGTCGCAAATGTTCTCAATGCAATAACTTCCTTCACGCACGTTATATGTATATTTGCGCACTTGTGTACACATCGCATTGTGTCAACTGATTTTCGATTTTACAGTGAAAACTTGTAATTCATATCGGCCTCGATTAATATCAACAATATATTTCGTCGATTCAGCACTGTACGTCTTTTTCCAGGTCTATACATTATTAATACTTTACAAAACTACATATATACACTAAAGCCTTTTATATTCTCTATAATACGTTTTCAAGTGTCTAAATATGTAGTAACATGTTTGATCTGTTTCATTCTTTTGCATGTACTTTAATATATATGTAATTGGATTAGTAATTGGATAGTTAATCAGCGAACAACAGTGTGTTCAACGTGTTAATATAACTTTGAAATAAGTTGTGATGGACGCATCGCAAGTCGCTAACATAACTTATTTAATATAAGGGTCGTCATACTTCGTTTTCCATCGTTTACATATACATTCTAATATCGTTTAAGCAACTATCTAACGTCCACGACTGACTTAGAATGCAACGAAACCCGTACTCGGATTCTATTCTCGAGAAACCTTTTTTCATTCTATTCTGCGTTAATATGCACAATTTTTATTATTTCTCAATTGTAGAAACTTTCAAAACCAATACGTATATACACAGTTTCATACTGACATCTATTCGATCGATCCTTCCTTTACCTTTTGTTACTTTTATTTTCATTTTTCATCACGAATCCTTCTAATTGTTAAGACCAGTATAGACAACACACTGTTCGCGAGAGGTTATTTTTAATCTTTCTTTGTCTATACGCGATGTACGTATAATTCATTATCAAGTGCCACGGTACGAAAACAATCCTTAAAATACGAAAACATATTGGAACGCGTTTCGAATGCAATCTTATTCGATCTCTTAAAATTTCTCAAAGTTTCACCCATGTTTTGCGTTTCATTGTTAATACTTCGAATTAGAATTTCCTTTAAATTATTGTTGTAAGAAAACGTGTATTCTATCCAATTAAAACAGGATTTTTTCCTTCGTATCAATGATAAAAGAACAGCATACCGTTTAATAAATGTTATCGGTGCGATGAGAACGTCCCTACGCTAGTTTCTCGATTCTAGTAACAATATAGTTTACTAGATACACGTGTTTAGCACACTTGTTGAAATGGCGTGAAGATGGATCGATCTAATACAAAATACAGATGAAACATCTCGGGACATATCAAGGATCGCTGAAATCTTGAATCGATCACCCCTTTTTTCACCTATATCACTTAATTATCTTCTTCGTCCTTGTCGATGTATTCTTTTATTATTACTTTGCTTTATTCTTTTTATCAAAACGATGAGACACAATACTAGTTATTCTAAAACTTAATTAATCTTAGAATTTGCAACATGCATTTTCGAAGGAGGGGTGAGTTTCAGGTACGTTTTCAGTCTTTTCCTGGTAAACATGGCTCATTCTCATCTAGTTGTCTATCAGATATTAGATAATTGAGAGAGAAATCGTGGCAAATTCTTAAACTTTGTAATTTTAATGATCGGCTTTTACTTCCAAATATATATAGTTCCAATAATCGATAATCGATAATCGATAATCGATAATCGATAATCGATAATCGATAATCGAATCGAATCGAATCGAATCGAATAAATCTCTATTTCTCGGTGAACGCCAATTTCATTTTTTTAAATAACTCATGAAAAATATTTACTGTTTGGGTCAGGTCTAGATCATATCTGAGTCAGGCTTACCCGTAAATTACGCTATACTTTAAGTTATATTTGTACTATTGGCGAATCTAAAACTGGGGAAGAAACAAAAACCGATGAAACAAACACGTGATCGTTTCGCTTCGCGCGTGATTAAGAAAATCGAATTGTAAGTGAATTTAAATCGACTGGAGATCAAGGTAATTCTTTCACTAGAGACCCTAATAGGAGAAATCGCCATTGTTTCGGCACGATCGCTGTATGTGTGCTGCATGTGTGCTGTACGTGAGAATTGAAAATAAGAGTATGAAAGTAAGAACGATTCCAAACTAATTACACGTACACAATGCAGGTGGCAACATCCTTAACGTTCCAACATGTTCGATAAGCGGCTTCTTCCTTTAACGCCTCTCACGATAGCATCGTTTTAATCGGTGTTAAATAAAATACAACGAGCAATATAATCTACGCAGTATAACCAACTAAAAAATAATATTTCTTCCTTTTGATTCTCTGTTTGTGCTTTTCTTTGTCCGAAAACTTGCCGATCATTCGACGATTAAATCCCTATTATATCGCACAAGATAATTTGCACGACGGATAACGACGACACCTTAGCGTTAGCTTAGAATAGGAAATACAATGGTGAGCTATCATGCTGAAATTTTGTATGCACTTGCTAATGAGTATCAGTGTACTCGCATACAACTGGATTTTGAAATATCTGTTGCGCTATGTCTAAAACATAGATTATAAATTATTATACGATTAGTGCCCTCAAAAAACAATAACGAATTATACGAAATATTTGGTAAAAATTTACCCAACGATACATATCTATATTCATTTTTAAAATAATAATATCAAAATAATTATCGATCGCTATAGCTTGTTGTACTTTGCTGTCGTTTATGAACACTGTCTTTTCATTCGTAATACTGATATTATCATTGCTACGCGACGCGCGCGTTGCGTCGTGTCGCGTCGTATGTAGTCGCTAATGAAAAAATAATCGCCAACCGATACACACACTGATGCGTTACCGTGACATTTTTATTTCTCGATGAAATTTTTCATTTGACCAATCGATACAAAAACATACGTTGTTAAGATACGTAGAAAAGAAAACGTGAAATCAGATGGCGCTTGGAGATTCAGGACGCACAACGATCCTTTCGATTGCCCCTTATACAATGACGACGACGAGTGAGTTAGTTAAACGATAGCGAGTAGAACTATCTATAATCTGTGATTAAAATTCTAACGACGGAACGATAATGCATTATGTATTATGTGTATAAAATGTCTCTGCAAAAAGAGAACAAAAATAGCTTTTGGTTCGTTTCGAAGCTTATCCGTTATAATAATTGTTGCATGCTTCGCCGAACGAAATTCTTTTACAAGATGGTATATACTTACTTACGTGTAAGTCAAATCGGAATCGTCTCTATTTACGAATCATTGGAGTTCGTAAATAAGATCCATTGTCAGTCATACGTTAAACCTATATCTTTGCAAATTCCGCGACTAACAGAATAATCTCGGTACCTATACCGTATTCATTATGATTCGTATAATATATTCATTTCCACAGGGACTGTAACATGTTTTTATCTAACTAATCAACTATGTAGTTTTCATAAAGACCTTTACGGTAGTTAAATTGAGCTCTTGAATTAACAGTACGATCGTCATGAATACGTTGTTACATTTCTTAAAACTAATCTCGAGTGCCCGAACTTTCGTTCGAAATTTATTACTATCGTTTCTAAAAGAATGCTCGTCGCTACTTTAAATTTTACTCCATATATTCATAGAGTATGTACTTTCCATATATACGATATAACAAATACTTATTTATCGTAAAAAAAAAACATTCGTTTCAAACGTGTAGCAAATAAATTGAAACTTTATATATATATACACATATAGTATATGCAATAGTGTGCGCGCGTGTGTGTGTGTTTTAACAGCTGAAATTAATTCATATATTAAGAAATAATAAAATTTTACTATCGTTCGTTTACAATTTTAATTCGTGTTTCCAGTTTCAATGTTTCTTCGATTCAAAACCGGAATTACCGATGGAATTCGTTAATACTTATTAAAAATAGTAGCACGATGTCTCGCATTCTTATACCTTTATCTCGTATTGTGATTGTTAATCGAGTCTTTTTGTTACGTAATCTACAGGCAAATTAACATTTTCATTAATTATGTTACGTATTACATAAAGTACAAGTGTTTTACCAAGTGCGCACTCTGCAAGATTATCTTTCTAAATTTTACGGTACAACATTTCCATTATAGTATTTAACAACCAGTCGATTAAGTTTATCAAAGGAGGAAAATTGCGTCATCAAGTTCACGTGCAGTATGTAGTTTTGTTAAATTTTTTCTTATATACTTGAGTTTAAGTTGATTGAATTGATTCGTGAGATCTAGGTACTAGGGCAGCAACAATACGCATAACCCGGTCATAGTATATACTTATAAATGATATTATGTAGACACGATAAATGACTACATTTCGAGAAAACCATTCTCCCTCCACCTTTCTTTCTCAAGAACAAGATTCGATATTCTCTGTAACAAACAAACGAATCGTTATTATTACGCTCTTGTTTCGAGCTTCTTTCCTGCCCTATTTAATTTTAACTCGATCTAATTACGAACAGCGAGTAGTAACGATTTACAAATACACGTCAAGTATCTACGTGAAGATCAAAGTCGAATAGTTTCGTTTTACCTGTACTTTTCAAAATTTAACCGTTAGCCAGCCGTTATATCGTAATATAAGGCCGTAAGCGGGCTAAAGTTACATTAAATACTTGTGATTCGACACTTATTACATATCGGATAAACGTATGACTAACACTTAGATTAAATGACAATCAACTGTCACAACATTCGAGTGATTTTATTAAGCGAAGCAATGTGATCTAAACCACTTGGATCTCTTATGGTAAATTTGTCACATTGTACTACTTATTTAATACAATGATACACCGCTATTGGAATTCGATTGTACGCGATCGTAAAATTTTTCTTTGGTAAGGAACGTTCGTTTATAGAAAATGATTAATCGTCTATAATAAATCAAATAAAGAACTTTTTACGTAAGTAGCATTAAAGAAGCTAAGGGAGCTTTGCGAGCTAAGGGAGCGGTCAAAGGGCTTATGATTGACTAACTCCCCTAGGACGCATCTTCGCATTTAATACTTTTACGAAACAAATCGCTTTAGAGACTTTATCCTTTATTAAAAAATTCGTGTCATCTTGTCCACTATGTTTGTTTTCTTAATTGGCTAACATGTACGTATTAATTATATTTCATTGCATTCAGCAAAGTGACGTAACTCTATCTGTCACAACTCTTTAGTCAACAGATCGCACAACTTTCACGTAGATTATAGAATCGGAAACAGAAAACGAAGTGGTTCGTTCAAATTTACATAGATTGACAAGAAAATGAAATCGAGAATCTCACTGAATATACTTTTACGTTATGCTATTCCGAAATTCTACCGAAATTCTACCGAAATTCTACCGAAATGCTACCGAAATTCTACTGAAATTGTACCAAAATTCCAGACAAAACGGAATTCTTTATACATCACATCGTGCTGAAATCTCTATCGTTATTTACGCATTTGAGATTACTCTATTAGATTACTATCATAGAATTATGGTGGCGGTGTTTTATCGTTAGACACACAAGTACATTTCCTTTTGCTTATTTTCAATATTTTCGTTCTTTCCCATTAAGACGATTCCATATCTCGACAAATGTTACAGATAAAAAATAATACAATTTTCAATCTTTTCGGAATTGAAAATGATAAATCGAAAAATTCAAAAACATAACACTTGATATCTTGGAGAGCTCGGGCACTCGAACTTGGCAAAAGTGAAGTAAAATGGAAATTGAAGTTGCGAATGTTTATATGTAAAATGTATGTTTAGTACCATACCAAGTTATAAATAACCTAAAGTTGCATATGTTTTCACATAGGGTGCATCCACTCTACAATTTTCCCTGAAACAAACGTTATAAATTGTATGAATTTTCCAACTACCCTTGATAAGCACAACTCCTTAAGAAAAGAACAAAGATAAATAATTAAGAACGCTAATAGTGATAAAGTTGCGAAAGACAGGTCAATTAGTACAGTTAAATTCGATCAAAAGAGAATATAAGATGCTTTTGTCGTTGTAAAGCGATTAAAGTGATAGAATTTTATATATAATCTTATTTTCATCTTATTAAACTGTGTGAATTTACCAAGTCTGCTAATCTTGAAAATCTCAAACAAGCAAAAGAGGAAGAAAAACAATATCTAAATTTCTCCAAAATATGTAGTATCCAAATAATAAGAAAATTTATGCTCTTGGATTGGCTACAAACAACGATATACTATACTTCAGGACACGGACAATTATTGAATCTTTTGCAATCTCGTAGTTTCCGACGTATTTCAACTTAAAAAAATAAGTTTGAAGGTGCGAAATGCACTAGTTTAGTATAGAAATCCACTAGTTATGCGTATATAGAATAGAGCATTTTTAACGTATTTGATAGGTTACTTTGTCGCCTTATCGTCGGCTTTTAATCATGATTCATTCAAGGAATGGCGTCGCTCATTGTACAAGGAAGGAGACGGCATATTGCGTTTGATCTTCTAATTTTAATCAGAAAAACATGACAAATATGCTGGTAAAAGTTTCATTGATCTCAGTCCCGCTTTCTCTTTCACTCACGTTGCCCTTCGTTCATCGTTTATTTTATCGGAGGTTTTCGTAGATCTCGACACGAATGTACCGAAACCTAAGAAAAAACGTCCGAAAGTTGAGTCGTGAAAAATCAACATGGAAGACAAGAAGATTTGACGCATGCGTGACGATTCTATGAATATCTCAGACAGAGACAGAGACACTCTACTCATTTCTGTCTGTTTCGCAAGAACGAGAAGCTTGTTGCCTCCCATATTGATTCTTGGCGATTCAATTTTCGATGGCTTTCCCAAGCGAGTGTCTAGACCTGTTATTATAATTGTGACGTAACCGACCACCGCGAGGTCGAGAGTATAGGATAACTGAAACTTAATCCGATATACAAAATCTCGCCTTAAAATGGCCGCCACCATAAAAAAACGAGTATTTATGTACAACCAGCGACTCCACTCATTGGCTTAATAGCGCGTAAGAGCCAACACGGCGTCAAAGTGACGTGTAAAATACGCTAAAAAAGCTGAAATTTACGCACGCATAACTTTTGAACCAAATAAATCTCTACAGTTGAAACTTGCAATTTTGTATTCTGCGCGTAAGAAGCTACTAAATGACAAATAAGAAGGGCAATAATTTTATATCGAAAAAATCGAGGTTCGGTCAAATTGTTCATCCTCTAAAGTATAGTTTACCTCAAATGATATTCAATGTTAACAAGCAGAGAAGAAGGTGGAAATATTTTGTGCGTTTCTTCTTTTTTCGTTCCTATCCTTCAATATTCTACATATACATATTTTATTCTCTCCTTAAACGTAACATCTTTTATATTCTTTTGAAACTATAACTTAAATATCTTTGTTACGCTTACGACGATAAACGTAAAACAAGTTTAGATGTAAAGTCTTTCCAGTTCCAACAACAGTTAACCAACTAATTTTCAATAGTAAATTTCCAAGTACTTACTCGTCTTCCCACGGACATACTTCGTTAACGTTATTGTCACGCTTTTGTTGAGGAGCTGGTTGAGTAACCGGCGCTAATTGATCATCCTGTCTGGGGTCCGGCTCCCAAACAGGAACAACTTGCGCCTCTTCCAGCGACTCCACCGTCTCCGTTTTTACTAGAGCGGAAATTGCCAAACTTTCTTCGGCTATAACTGCCGCCATTGCATCACCTTCGTCAGCCTCCGGCTTTTGCCTTCTTTCCTCAATTTCTATCTCTTCCTTTATTACCGGCGCATGATCGCCATTCGTTTTTTCCTCGACTTCAACCGTAGAATTGTCGCTCGGTAGATCCCCCACGATCGCGCTAATGCTTATTAAGGGGGCCTTGGTTAAAGTTTTTGTCGTCAGTTCCTCCTCGAGAGACTTTAACGTCGTACTAGTTTCAGGCTCTTCGGCAATACACTTCCCTGTCGTGGACACATCCGATCTGTCAGTTGTCATATGAGAATACTCGAACGAATGTTGTGGCGACGGATAATTATAAGACAAAACGGACGGCCGACTGATCTCTGAGAGCTTCGTTCTTCCGCTAGTCGAGCCGATAGAATAATTTCGCGTTGTTATGCCAATTCGTTCGGTAGTCGTCATGCCGGCTGTATTACGAAATAACTATGATAAAAAGCTGCACCTTTTAATTAATTATTCGTTCTAATACTTAACAAATATGCATGCGTATAATATCCCTCGCTTTTTATTATATTTAATCTAATTTTATCTTATCTTTGACAGTAGCGAAAATTTCGTTGTGCAGAGCGTCGTGGAAAGCGTCGTGGGAAGAATATACGCATAGCATAAACACAAATAGTTTACAAAATATTTACCTGTGCTACTACTGTGTTGCAAACTACAAGACTTTCGAAGATGTTCAGAGACTTCCGCTACCACTAAACTGACATCAGACGAGGAACTACAGGAATCTAATTGCGATGAATTTTTCCGAGATGCGCGTGTAACCTCGATAGACTGTAACTGCGCACTCAAATTATTGCCTTCTTCGGCTTGACTCTCAACCGACGACGTTACTCCAGATGATATTGGATGGTGTGATAGTGTGGTATCTATGGCGTGCTCTATACTCGGTCCTGGAACCACGTCCCACGGGCAAACGTCGTCCATAGGGCGAACTACCGCTTCCGATGTGCCAGCATCCCTGACAACATGAACTTTATTATATGATTTAGTTTTTATTTTTTCCTCTCGTTAAAATACCACAGCGTCTTTTCATTTTATTTCGATTCTTCCGATTTCGATATGTCGATGGGCCATGCAAATATGTAATTGTACCATCCAACGTACAACAGGGAAATTACACGCGCTTTACAAAATTACATTTCTAAAGAGAAATCGTAATTGTCGCTTCTTTTTCGTTTCGAGCCGAAACACAGTTAGGCTTCTTTGAGGGAAGAAGGGCCGATTTCTCTCGGTAAGAAACGGGTAAAATACAATTGACGAGAATTAAATTATTTCAAGAGAATTAAGTCGAATTTGAAGTGCATTCCAAATTCCAAATTGTTGTTTATATATTGCATTATTTTCGATGAACTTGTAGAAAAGCTACTGCCTCTCCGATTTCGATCAGTTTGAAATATGTTGCAACATATCGAACGATCTTTCCCCATACATATAATGGACGGTCGGCTTTAGTTTCTGAAATATTCGCAGAAAACTGCTAATGTCGCTACAGCAAATTCTGTCTATATTTGTGCATTCGTAACGCATGAGCGTATAATTAACAGCGACTGAACCGAAACCTAACTTCTACCTTTTATTTATAATATGTATACATAAAAGAGAGTTTGACGAGCTTGGGTAAAGCTCTCTACACAACCGTATATGCGAAACTGTAATAAATGTCTGTTATAATTCAATTAAAGATAGATATTGCCAACGTATTGCGTTTGAGTTTTTATTCCGTTAGTTTTTTCAATTCAACCGCCACGCCCTGAGACGGCCAACAATGTTTGCGTAAAACAATAACAATTCTTTTATTTCGTAAAATAACATCGATTATTCGGCGTTCTATTATCTTTTATAATTAACATTCCGGGAAGCGGCTACTCTGACAACTATACAGCGCGAATCCCCGCGTGTTTTTCGACCAATTGAAGAGATTCAAAGCGACCAATATTACATCTAATATGTTAATAACGGTTTCGTATTATTCAAGCATGTAATGTGTAATAGTATAATAATAATGTGTGACATTAACAAAACGAATAATAATGTGTAATAGTTCGTTTATAGCATCCATTGCTTTTTTTACTGTTTCATTTAACAGTAGTTGACATTTTTATAGAACACCGCTTGAAATGTGTCAGACGCGAATTCACGTCTCCGGTCCTCAAGGCGTTGCACGCAACCGTTGCCAGCCGCCTGGCGGCGCGGAGAAAATTTTCAGCGGATTGAGAAAACTAACCGAAACCGAAACCCGATACATCGATGATACGTATTCATTTTCGAATGAGTTATACCAGACATTAAGAGATGTCAGCCACGCATACGCAATAATGGACGGAGTTTCAAGTTCACCCAATTCTCATTTATACGTACTATTAACAGAAAATAAGAGTTAGAGGTAAGTTGGATTTGAGTAACCGATGCTGACCCAAACGCTGACACAGCGCATAACTATAGGCGAAATACACTGTAGCAGTACCGATCGTCCGTTGTGAATATCTCGGAAACTAAGACCGACTGCGTTATGCACGTATACGTAAGAAAAAGTCGTTCAAAATGTCGAGCTTTACAACGTATTGAAAACTCATAGAAATCGAAGAGGAGCTCAACCTAAATTTAAGTTGTTGCCTATATCTTTGAAAATGTATATCGCTTGGATCGATTGCACGAAAAACTGAAAATTCGCTAAATAGCGTTTCGACAATTGGTGTTAACAGTGGAATCAAATAATAACGACACGATCACATGATAATGGTTACACAAGATATTTCGATGCGTATAATAGACACCGTTTCGTAAGAAAACAATACGATATCGAATAATAAAATGTTTAATTAAAAATGGACAAGACCTCAAATATAGATAAATTCCACTAGTTATTATCACTGACATCGTAAACTTTTGTTATTAATTTGGTATTTTGCATCAAGATCATGCGGAATATTTTGTAACTATTTATTGTTGGGCAAGTGGCAAGATGAAACGGTGCTACCGTATTAGTAGATACGATAACAATAAGTAAGAACGAAAATGAGAATGAGAGATGGATATGTATAACGTGATAGTGCCATAATAATGATAAAGCGAAAGATTAGAAAAAGACAGTTGAACGATAATACATATACATACATTTATATACATACTCGTATATGTATGTATGTACCACGCATATATATATATATATATATATATATATAGATTGCACGAAAAACTGAAAATTCGCTAAATAGCGTTTCGACAATTGGTGTTAACAGTGGAATCAAATAATAACGACACGATCACATGATAATGGTTACACAAGATATTTCGATGCGTATAATAGACACCGTTTCGTAAGAAAACAATACGATATCGAATAATAAAATGTTTAATTAAAAATGGACAAGACCTCAAATATAGATAAATTCCACTAGTTATTATCACTGACATCGTAAACTTTTGTTATTAATTTGGTATTTTGCATCAAGATCATGCGGAATATTTTGTAACTATTTATTGTTGGGCAAGTGGCAAGATGAAACGGTGCTACCGTATTAGTAGATACGATAACAATAAGTAAGAACGAAAATGAGAATGAGAGATGGATATGTATAACGTGATAGTGCCATAATAATGATAAAGCGAAAGATTAGAAAAAGACAGTTGAACGATAATACATATACATACATTTATATACATACTCGTATATGTATGTATGTACCACGCATATATATATATATATATATATATATATATCGAGATTATATATATATATATATATATAGAGAGATCGATGTACTTAAAATACAGTAACGGAAGAAAATTTTAGGGAAAGATAGTCAAACTACATTAGCCTTAGTACATTGAGAATACGGAATATCGAAGAATGTTAGAAAACATCAACAGTATTGCATACATGAAATGTTTTTCACAAGTGCTAACATCGTAAAATAATACATTAAGTAACAGGGTTTATTATAAAAATTGAAATAAGTTAAGAGATTCGTATTCGCATACTTATGCAAGGGAACTATCAGGTTATTTCGAGGACTTACTGAACGCTATGCGGGATAGGCCTTGTTGAAATCTTTACGAGTCGAGCCAGATCTCCCCTGAAAACACCGCATCGATAAAACCTATCTTTCTTGCAAATTGATTATTTTTCTGGAAACAGGGATAATTTGTAATTCTGTTTGCTTTTCGATCGTGTCGCGAAGACAAATAGCGTACTAATAGTTTAGAAAATAAGATAAAGACAGCGATTTCGATGCGTTACAAGTTTAAATATACATCGAAGATAGGTGGAGCGAATTAACTCCATAACCTATAGTATCGTGTGAAAGACGTGGTGCGTTGATGTTATTGATTTATTATTTACTTCACGATAATAAATCTTTTCTGTGCAATGATCAATTGCTTGTAATTATTTATCAAATATCTTGCAAACTAAAATTAGTTGTACCCAACGCATTTATATATCAAAGACATATACGATTTGCACAACTTTGCACGCTCAGTCAAACCGTGAAATGGCTCGACGTTCGACCTTCACCGACCTTCGTTTGGGGCACGCGATATTGGAACTTAAATAGGATGGCAGGGGGCTAATTTCTTAAACGTTCGACACGTTTTCTAAACGTGTATTACTGATTTTATTTTACTTGTACGCTCTTTAATAGAAGTTACTAAGAGAAGAGCTTTCTTAAACTTCGATTCCATTATATTTCTCTTCATACATATTTACTTTGACGTATTTACTTTGACAAATTTTATCCGCGTTATAGTTAGTTAAGTTATAAGTTGAAATAAGTGTGATACTCGGTGAGGATTTGAAATGATTTAACGTAAGGAAACTAACGCAAAGAAAATTCAGAAAATTTACATTCCTATAAACCTTTTATACATAGTGCACACATACTGCTATATATGTATAGAATGTATGTAAAAGTTATGTGCAACGATCACCCTGGCGGGATTCTATATGTTTGTATTGGTGGGACATTTGAAAACAAAAGTACGTGCAATGTTGTCCTTGGCCTTGAATTTCAAGGCCGAACTCCTTTTCCCTCGCATGTTGTTTCGTCTCATAAATTCTTCGATAAAAGCACGCATGTAACGTTACAGTTAAATTTGTTTCGTACTTCATGTCATTTTAGACATATCATAGAACAACAATAGTTTGCGTTATTTTAGTAATATATTATTTCTATTAAAATATCTCCGGAACTAATGATTTTCAACGTGAACAACTTAATACTTCTCTATATGGAATAACGAAATGCATCAATCAGTACATTAAAAAATGTAATTCCATTTAAAGAAACATAGTTGACTTTCATATATCCTTTACGTGGACATACGTGGACCACCTGCGATAACATGAAATCGTCTTTTCTTCGCGTCATTCAACTTTTATTTCGGAAACGTTCTTCATAATACGTAATTCGAAATTAAGAAGTTAGATGTTTCGTTCCATTTAAGGTAAGCTATGTCAGTTAAGGTGCCAAAGAATAATTTCCCGTTTCTTCGTCAATATCACGTTATTTATTTCCTATCCGACTGCAAAATGTAAACATACCGTAAATAATGTCAACTTACGAACCAATGGATCTCTAAAATCACTTTCTCAGGAGAGCGATCGAGTTGTGGAGCCATGGCTCTTATGACAAATCTGGACCTTATGAGAATACGATGCAAGCAAAAAAAACTGGACCTTGAAATTCAAGGTGAACGATAATTTTGCACATACTATTTATTTACAAATACCCATCGATCCAGAAGTGTAGAAGCCAGTTGTAGTGGTTTTAATATATGAATAATTTTTATACATCTCATACGTTTTTTCACCTTTTATAGTTTTGGTTTCTCTAGTTTCGACGGAATCCAACCATAATTATCATCGTAACGAATATATTTCTCACATTTATTTATTTATTTATTTGTAACGAATTAAACCCTTATAGAAATTTAAAAATAGCAACATAGAGACGAAAATAAAGATAGGATTAATAGAGAATAAGGAGTGCGATAAAGGCAACATAGAGAGAAGAGCATGTATATCGTCGTTCTTCAAAAAATATTAAATCTGTCGTTTACCTATATGGAATATCGGTGAGGTTCGACTGACTGTGAGAATGTGGCACTCTAGGCACCGAAGTTGTATCTCGAACACCACAGACGGCTAACTCGTGAGCAGATCCAGATAGACTCCGATCGCTTCCCCTTCGTTTACTACCGCTTGCTGCACTACCTGCAGCATGGTGCTGCAAAATGCTGGTCGTTGGAGTCGGAGTCGAAGTTGAAGTCGAAGTCGAAGAAATTTTCTTCTTTGTTTGTCCACCAAAGCTAAAAAACCTACGGAATACCATCGAATAAACGGAATTGTAATATACCGATACCGCACAACCATATATATAATACTATTAATAGTAGTCAGTAGTAATTGAAAGATATCGTAGATGATGAACTTCGATCAACTCTTGAGTAGAGGTCAAGAAGAAAAAATAGGAAATACATAGAGAATAGAATTGCCACTAAAATTACTGTTAAATCGTACCACTTTTTTTGCAAAGGTTGCACACCGGCAGCTAAGGTATTTCGATATTGATCCGAACGAATAAATCTAGGATAGCAATCCTTTTTCAGAAGCAGCGTATACACGTGTTCAGCGGCGGAATCAAATATAAATCGATTTGGATTTCTCATTTCTTGATGTACTTTTTCCATTGTCTTCCCATCTATGTTTATTTCGCAAGGTGCTCCGGGTGCCAGGAATTCTCTAGAATATATTCCATCCATCATTTTCTTGCTATATGTATATCATTATACGTCTATATATTGTACATACGAGTATGTCATTCAATGAAATTTTCGCTTTTCGCGAATCAACTGAGAGAAAATATTTGATAATATATAGTATAATACGTGATACATACTTGAAGATTTCGTTGACTTTGTCGGGTATTTGTGCTTGAAAACTATGTCTCAAATCTTTAACTGCTAACCAAAATCGTATATTTTCATGACTATATTCTTTCCTCAAATAATTTGTGAACTCTTGCAAACCTACGATAGAACGTGTAAAATCAAAACGCAATTTTCAAACGTCGATTATTCGATTACTTATGATTAACATTTTTCAGGCTTTCCTACCATTGCTAACTAACATTCTTACTTATGTTTGTTGCTATTGTCATACATTTTGTATATCGAGTTCTATATACGTAAAAGAATTAAAAGCTATAAAAAAATTTCAAAATAGTCGTTGATAATTGACATAAGTTATTTTTGTTATTACGTACAAACGCATCTGCAATTTACATATATCGTAGGTATAAATACGTATCTATTCAAAGAAAAAATTCCAAATATTCACCAGTTGGATCAGACATTAACTCTTCCATCGATAATGCCCAGCGCTTGACGCGTTTTTCCGTAGGAAGATCCACCCTGCGCATAACAAATTACACAAATAGGAAGGAATTTAAATGGTGTTTTGCGACACAACAAGCATCTTCGCTGCGATGATCGCACGCTTTACCGTGAAGCGTACATATACGTGCGTATATTTGTATGAGAAATTTTAATTATGTTTAGAATACCAACACAGGACTGTTTAGCTGCCAAAATGTTTGATCGTCGGTGATCCATGGGTTTGAAGGTTGTGGCTGTATAAACATCGGATCGTATTCCACGTATGTTTCAAAGTATGATTTTAAATTTTCGATCGCAGCCGAAACCTTTATCCTTGTACGCGTTAAACTGTTCTTCAAAAGGGCCACCTAGTATTAAAAGAAAAGAAAAAAAAAGAATATATTTGCACCGTTACTAAAATATACGTGTAATATATTTGCAGTATTGTAATTGATCACCAGATGTTAAAATTAGATGAGACAAAGTGTAATATCTCATCCACCTGGATTCATTGAAAATCACCGCTTGTTTCTCTCTGTATATACACAGTATACTCATAGTCATATTCCAGAGTCCAAACAAATACGTGTAGTCGAATAGCGAACATGGTAAATATCTATAAAATTCCTCGACCAGCAACTTTCGCTGATGGTATCGACGCGCGACGTGACGAATCGTCTACGGGGCCACAGTTGCGGTCCGAGTGCATTGTCACGCGTGTTTTTTCGCGCCTCGGTGTCTCCCGAATGGGACAGAGTTGCGCTGGCTTGTTTCCGTTCTATTCGCTTCTAGGGACTAATGTTCGTTATTTACTAAAATTACTTAATACAAATTTGAAAAGAGTCGACAGCCGGTTCCGGCCGTCTGAACCAATACCGATACCTCGTTTCAAAAGGAATGGTATCGCTGACAAGCGACACTACCAAATGCCACTCGCCGATTCTTCTAAAACCGCGCACATACGTACGTAATATATCAAAAAACGTTAAACACGAGCTTTTTCATTTCGGCTCATAAAGCTTTCGAAGGTTAGAAAAAGCCTATAGGATGTCGGCATTACGCAAAGCAATTTTCTCTATTTATATTATCTTTGATTTTAACTTATCGTTCCACAATCTTGGCAATATACCCATAAACCCAAACCTCGCAAATCCGAAACTCACAAACCTAAAGTCGGTAATCCCAAAATTCATAAATTCATAACTCCAACTTCATAAGCACACAAACCCAAAGTCTAATATTTTTGGTTTCTTATTTTTATGTATTTTTTTTAGGGTAGTGAGCAGCAATTGGGGTGAACAAGTATTTTATATAAATAGAATCAGTGCACCAAGCACATCCGATAATGGCAACATCATTACAAAACTTACTTTGCGTACCACAATTTTTCAAGCAACATTCTACGCGCAATATTCTTACATTTATCTGCTTTTTCTGTAATATATTCGCCCTTTGATCAAGCGTACTTAGAGACACGTTCGCAAATCCTGGCGATACAAATTTGATATGAATCGATGATTGGATTTTTAGAACATTATTTCTCACTTGTAAGTTGCAGCATCATAGTTGTGCAGAAAGATGAAATCTGAAAGTTTTTTAAAAAATTGTTCCATGATCTGAATATAAACACAAAGTGACAGCTTGATAGATGTTTTTCTCCACGATAGGTCCAAACTTGTCACCTGTCTCTTGCAACATTATCGGCAAAGGATATTTCAAGATCCCAGCCACTGCTACGATATTTCGTATAACTGTAAGTTTAACACTTCAGAGATCGGGCTAGATATTCGACGGTTACGGGGTAAGTTGCATTGAAAAGTAGGGCGAATAGGAAAAAATTGCTTAAAAACGATGTTGACATCTCGGAGCCGTTTTCCAACCATCAAACAGTTTATGAGCCGAAATAACGAAACACGTGTCTAATGCTTTTTGATGTACTACAAGAGTGCGGAGTTTTAGGAAAATCGGAGACTGGCACTTTGATAGTATAACTTACGAGATGAATAAAACTGGGACAACTTAGCGCGGTGCTGCTCGCATAGATTTATCATTATCCACAATGGCCAATTCAAACCTGGCCAAGTTGGCAGTGGTAAATAATATCGATTTTGCTCGTGCTATGCGTATCGAACCATGTTCGGTGTTCGACTATCTCTTTGGACTTTGTCCGGACAAAACCGACAGCGTGCGTCCTGCAGACTACGCTCGTAACACATACACAAGTTCTATTATATATGTATAAATGAAATATGAAATATTTTTAATAGACTTTAACTATGCGTTGTAATGCAACTGATTACGCGGGTGTGAAACACGTTCCGACACGGTCGCAAAACGCCACTTTGTCACAGAAAACGAAACATGCTGACCAGGCGATACAATTTTTAATACCGGGGTCCGACAAGCAGCGTGTAAAACGCCCGTGTAATCGTAATCTAAGAACGCTGCGCTGACCAACGTCGGACAATATGAATTATCGTACATAGTAATCGTTTATATTGTATTACCAGAAATTCGAAAACACGTGGCACAGGACGCAAACACAGCGCACAAGAAGGTGATTAAAACCGTGTAGCTGTTTAATTACATATATCTAAAATAAGATAACGGGATTAAAAGAAAGTATTTACCTCGCGTTGCAGATCGGTTAAAGTGCGTTTACGTGATGGAGGACGCGAAAGTCCAGGACGAAAACGTGTAGGTACGGGTGCTACTTCAAGACTACTTAGACAACCGGGTGGTGGCCTGTAAACTCTCCAAAATGCTCGTTCTTGAGAATCGCTTACTATTTTATCCCCCTTTTTTCGCTCCTTCGCTAAGCGGACCTGAATACACAATGTTGTATCTCAACGAGTTACACGCTCAAACGTACGATGTTTTGATTACGTACAAGGAAAATATAAGTAACGAAATACAGAAATATAAAATTATAGAAAAGTGCTAGAACGTATTTTCCTAAAGATTAATCCAACCAACAAAATCGAATTTTTGCTGCTTCGCGATAAATCTAGAATTGCGATAAATTAAGATCATAATCTAAGATGAGCATAATTTGTGTAATATTAACGCGATACAATATCAAATTGTTACAACTGTTTGTTAAATTTCAGTTAAATCGACGAGAAAAGATAAATTACGACGACGATAATTATTCACCTGTTCTTCGGCTTGTAGTTGTATAATATCCCATTTGTTTTGCAAATTCCTACGTAGGCTGTTCAAAGCTTCCTAAGAAGATGTGATAAGTTAGATATTTGCCAAAACTATAGAATATGTGTAATATATGTAATACATATTACATATCGGCTATTTACAGAATAAAATCATAAAAATTTACATACAATTTCATAATCTTCAAGGGCATGTCGCTGCTTGTTTCTTAGAGTTCTTTTAGCCAGATAAATAGCATATTCCACGTTATCGGGGATTCTATGTTGCCATGGCCAATAACATGGAGTCTATTTATTAAATAAAAAAGGTGATATATTAATGATTTAGAAAATGAATATACACGAAAGCTATACTATTTTTCTGCGTAACTTATTACTATTGCTATTTATTCTCAAGAATATTACTTAAACGTCTACTTGAATTTAATATAACGTGGATACTCGGTGACAATTTCGTTAATGCTATCGCACGATTGAAAAGAAAAGCCGAAAAATGCAAAGTAGTATCTAAGATTTCGGTGCAACTGTAAAAAAGCTACTTCCTCTCCGATTTCGATGATTTTTGAATGTGTTGTAAAACTCAATATTTTGGGCAACTTTTTCCTATACATGTAACTGTCCCTCGGCTATAATTTCCAAGGTATTCGCAAAATGCTATCTATACCACTGCAGTGAATTTTTTCTATAATAATCGAACGTCCGCGGCAGCGTATGCGTCTATATTAGTTATCAGCGGCCGGATAGAACGATTTGGTCGAAATTTAAAATTTGTCCACTATTATATAAACGAGGATGGGTCAAGCTTGATTAAAACTGTGTGCGCAACAACGTATGCGAGGTTATAAGAAATGTATTATAATTCAATTAAAAACGAAAATGGTCAATATATCGGGTTTAGCTTAATTTTTCAATTTTCATTCTTTTATTACGTAAAATAATATCGATTATTGATTCGCCTATTACATATTTTTGCGATTACGAGGCTTCCAAATTGAAAATACTGATCCAAACCTAAACTCGATATATCGATGGAATTCATTATTGATTCAGTTATTGCAGATATTTTTTACAGCCTCGTACGTGCGATTGTGTAGGGGGCTTTAAGTTCGCGAAACTTATACTATACATATGTATATATCGTTGTATAAAAAAAGATAAGCGGCCGGCAATCACTTCTAACGCGCATAACTGTTACAGAAGCACAATTGCAAGCAGAATTCAATTTTGCAGTGGTATCGATACGAAGTGCGACTACCTGAAAAACTATAGCCGACCAACAGTTACATATAGAGGAAAATTTGTTCGAAATGTCGACTTCTACGACATATCCAAGAACCATAGCGATCACAGAGCTAGAAACTTTTCTACTGTTTCACGAAACATAATTGCATGTCATTCTGAATTAAAAACCATGTATGCATTAGTAATTTAGATTTATCGAATTTATCGAAAATATTACTACACACAGTGATTTTCAAAAATATTTCGAAGATATAAACACTTCGGTATGACTATACTTTACTAATTTATGGCTCGATATGTCGATTGTTTATAGAGCAATCGCCCTGCTCATTTTTTAAATAATAGGTCGTATATATCAATATTAGTAAAAACATATAAAATTAACATATAGCATATAATAGTAAAATAAACATATAAAAAGTGAAAAATTCACCTATGTTACATAATAAAAATTATGAAAAGAAATAATACCGTATTTTCGTCTCGCAAAATATACAAACAGGTTTTGTATTTCTCCGCTTATCTCTTTCTGGTAGCTCGATATTCCAAGAAAATAGAACCGTTAATACCGTTTACAAACAGAATTTGGAAATGCGCTATACATACATACCTTCTCACTACTCTTATTCTCTACTATACACTATTCTCTACTACGACTGTTATTTTGCCCGAAATGAGTCGCAAATGAAAAATACGACATTTCATACGCGGCGATTTGTAATTTTTCACCGAGAAAAGCGGAAAATGTACGATGAAGTGAGTGCTATGCTTGGTACGAACAGGTACTGTCGCGGATATCGTTCAACGATTTCATTTCGAGAATCGCATTGAATCTACTCTGCAAACTGAAAGATCAAGTTTTAAGTACGAGAGATAATTATTCGAAAAGCGAAAGAAAATCTGCGAATAGTACTCCGAAAATAGTTAGCGAGCTATCAGATGAAAGACCCAAAAAAATTTCGGCCGAAACAGTTGGGACAACGTTAAGGCAAGCTGGTTATAACGGAAAAATAGCGAGAAAAAGTCGTTCATTAAGGAGACGAATAGTTTTCTTCTAAACAATTTTACAATTTTAATCGGCGGAAGAGCTATAGTCTTGCGAAAATCGAATAAAGAATAAAGAAAAAAGGATATGGAGTTGGAAATTTGATGTTCATTGACGACATTATGGATAAAAATCTTTACTTAAGCATACTTAAGAACAATTTAGTTTAAACTGCCGTAAAAACGGGGGTAAATAATAGTTTTAAGTTTTATCAGGACAACGACCCCAAGCATAAGGCACGCATTGTCCAAGAGCATTCATAAAAATATAATCATATAAATACCCCAAAATTCTTCATCGGGCCTTAATCTTATCGAGAATTCATGGGATGGACTACGTAGAAAAATTCGGGAAACTCCAATTTCTTTAATAGCCGAATTAAAACAAAGACACGAAATTGAGTGGCCGTGTATAATTAGAATATTAAAGAAAAATTTTAAATGACATTTCAAACAGATTAAAACATGTTCCAAAACAAAATTATTTTAACTCGATGAACTTAATTATACTAAATTATACTAAATAAGGTTAACTAAATATACTAAGTCAAACTAAGACAAATGTACGGAATTATTTCTTTCAATAGTCTTTACTATATAATGTACGTAAACTTTTCAAACAAATTATATGTTTTTACTAATATTAACATACGATCCATCATGTAAAAAATAACCGGGCCGTCTGCTTTATAAACAACCGAAATATTGAGCCACAAAGCCAATCCTATCATAATACTGAATACTTTTGAAAATCATTGTACCTATAGATACGTAGAAAAATACAATCCTGTTCTTGATATTTGTAACGTTAAGATATCTGTTCGTAGATTACGTTAGCGTTTCGTGTTGAGCTTTTAGATACAAAAAGTTTCATACGTAGGAATACGTGTTTAGAGACACGTATACGATAAAATAAAGAAAAGCTCGTAATTATCGATATTTTATCGATCTCGTCGATTTCGATGATTTTTGAGAATGTGGAAATCAGACATTTTGCACAACTTTTTCCCGTATATGAAACCGCCCCAAAGGCCTCAGTTTCCGAGATAATCGCATGGAACTGTCGCATAAAACTACTATGACGAATGCTCGCAATTGTGCATCCGTTACAACGTATGAGTATGTACGAGTTAGTGTTGCCAACCGTCATACGGCGGCGGGATAAAATGACGCCTACCCGAAACCTAATTCTTATCTTCTGTTTGTAGTCTACATAAACGGAGGCTGAACAAAGCAGCAAACACGCCGGCCGTATTTGTGACTGTGTCACAGATAAACGTACTATTGACGTATCTTCTTGTTATGTTGGGTCAGATGCTATTTTATATTTTATAAACGAAGATATATTTTTAAAATAGAAGCATTTAATAAAAGTTCATTCGGCTGCTACAGTATTACGTTTGTAACGTACGATACAGTCGATCATCAAACGCGATTGACACAAACGGGAGACGGCCGATGCCGTGTCAATCTGGGATGAGACTGCTTCAGATGCAGCCGCGTACGGCGGTACGACCCTGGAGATCCCGTCTCAAGGCGACCGACAACCAATGCTGACGTATATGCTGCAACGGATGCACGATTATAAACAAAATTCACTACAGCTGTACCGACGATACTTTATGAAATTCTGTAGTAAGTCCTAGTGGCGGCTATACATAAAGTTAGAAAGAAAAAGTTATTTAAAATGTTGATTTCTACAGCATACTCAAAAATCATCGAAATCGGTCAGCTGGGTGAGAGATATCGATAGTTATATATAAAAGAACTTTGTTATTTAAGCATGCCTTTTCGTTGAAATTTACCTCGAAGCATCCTGTCAAACTAAGTTTTACGCAATGCAAGCTGAGTCTCATGAAACCTGCTTCTAAGAGTAGTATAAACATCTACCAGACAATGAAATATCATTTCTATGCGGAAAAAATTTGTAAACGTTTAGATATCTGTGATAAAAAAAGACCATCTCAAAGAATTAGCTGATTATCAGTATTATAATATCGTATTTGGGCTCATTTTAATCAGGAAAATGTTGACAATGTATTAATGGTAATTAAAAAAAATGTTTAATAAAAATATTTCTCCGTTCCATTGGTGTTTTGTCTCACCGATACGAAGGCGAAACGACCGGTCTCGTTGTGCGACCGTTTCAAGAAGCCGAGATAAGGTCACGCGGGCAGGGATGACAGAACGATGGTGAAGATTGATTATATGCATAAACAGAGCAGTCTCGCCGTTCCCGCTTTTGACGAGAGACCAGAAGCGCACACGAGACCAGCCGACGTATCTCGCTGACAAATAAGCGAAAGGCATCTGCCGAAACACAACCTGCCGCCGACCTTATTTCGGGCACTTGATACATTGAAAATTTCATTAACGCATTGTTGACATTTTCCCGATTGAAATGAAACCAAACACAATATTATTTTATTGTCAATTTTTTATTAGCCAATTTTTTCATATCGTTTTCTTTCTTCGCGCGGTGTTTCTTGCTTTTCAATACACCCATCTATTGCTATATTTAACAATTGCAACTTTCTTTTCACATAGAAATGTTTTACTGCTTGAAAGCTGTCCATACTACTCGTTATATCGTAGATCTCATACAATCCAGCTCGCCTCGCACCAAACCTAGTTTGGAAGCACGACCGATGGCGAATTTTATTCTTTATGGCCTGCTTTGTGCGCGAACGCATTATCACTATATACCGATTTATCAGTGCAATGTGATACTTTTAATCTGTATATAGACATATTAGTTATAACGTATAGCAACGGTATACACGAATAAAATTCAGTCGTTAAATATTTTGTTCTCCAACAGTAATACGATGCAATTATATTTTACAACATACCATATTAATATCATAACATCTAGATCTAGATATATATGAATTCTCTTTGTTTAGAAAAAGAGGAAAGGAAAAAGGATTATCATGTACCGTAAAAACATATTCTTCAAAATCGTATTTGAAGTATTTGTCAAGATTGTCAATCAGTGTGCGCGAGATGCCTTTTCGTAAGAAAGTAATTATGTATCATGTTTCTTCGTCGCATCTTCACAACTGGCAAGAAAAGTTGTTTTAATAGAACGATGCAGTTCCCATGCAGGTCCATCTAACTGATATCGATGATTTTTTAGTATGTTTTATTATGTTATATTTGAGCAACCTTTGTTATACGCGTAAAAGAAAAACCTCGCGAGTTTATATATAAAAACTTATCGCGGTACGAGCTGGTAATATGATCACGCCCGTAGATAAATCTAACCGTGCACGGTAGAAGTCCCATATATATATAGTATATATTATGCCTTTGCGCTCGAGGACTTTTTCATTCAGGCGAAGTAGCAACTCGAGATGATTTAGCGCATATGTGACGCGTGACTTATAGATAACGTAAAATGATTTTATGCGCTAATTAACTTACGAAAACATTATATTCTAATAATTTATCTATATTTGCATCTTTGGAAATATGACTTTGTAATATTAATTTCTGTACTTTTTATATAATTTACAAAGCATTCACCAAGATGCATTCTTGAATACAATTGACCGCATTTCTCAACAATTCTAGATCAAGTTCATCGTCATTTGAGCTAATTTCACTTCCGGAAACCATTTTTTTAGAACATCTAAACTATAATACTTTTGCCATGATCGTCGAATCCGAACTAACGTCGGTGACGTTTTCAAAACCATTTCCAAAACCGGAGGGATTTGAGATTAAATAGTTCACCTCCATTTTAAAGTGTAACACTTTACACGTCCTAACAAAGAACATAAAGAACTAAAGAATCTATTTACGAACCAATACTGCGCTGTCTTCAATTGGAGATGTCGAAAAAATTTAGCATAAACAGGAACTGTCGCCTCTCACCCGTCACTCGACTTACCGCACGAAACGCCGTGGCGACTGAGTCGCCTCTCGAGTGTAAAGGGTTATATATATGTGTGTGTGTGTACATATTTATTATATAGTATAAGTTTATATTTATAACACAGACACACACGCGCGCGCGTATAAGTATATGTATGTTTATAATAGTGCAAATTGCATCAACAATAATTTTTTTAGTCAAGATATGAAACTAGCTAAAGTTTTATGCGTATTGTATACCGTAGCAGATAAAAGTCATGAAAATCATGAAAATGAATTCAAATTAAGGCTGAAATTCAAATAGGGCTCAACTCGACGATGTTCATTTTTAATCGAGTTATAAGTTATAACAGACATTTCTAGCAGCTTCGCACATACAGTTGTGCATGGAACCTTTAATCCCGCCTAATCCCCGTTTATAAACAGAAGATAAGTGGCCGGCAGCTTGCCAAGAGTAACCAATACAGATGCGTATACTGTGACAGTATACGCCCAATCGTAGACAAATTTCACTGTAGCGGTACCGACGGTTCTTTGCGAATATCTCGCAAGCTAAGGCCCAATGTGATACGTATAGGAGAAAGTTGTGCAAAATGTTGATTTCTACCACATCAAAAATGAACGAAATCGATGAGCTTGGTCTTCTTGTAAATATTACGAAAGGTTGTAAAAATGAAAGGTTGTATTTACTATTTTCTTCGCGATTCCGATCAAGTACGATTTGTAAAATTTTGTTTCGTGTCATCTGATAAACTGATCGATCCTTGTAAAAAGATCGAAGTCGTTTGGTACCAATTTTGAACAAGTTATTCTGTGCTAAAGAGTAACTGTATCTACTGCTATACCTAAACAATTTCAATTTTTTTTTCGTATATAATCGCATATAATTCGCATGTAATTCATTATAATTGGAAGATGTCCATACTACTCTTACGAGTATGCCAAATCCAGCTCGCCTCGCGTGAAACCGGGTCTGGAAGCATGCCTCGAGGCAAATCTTACCGTCTAGGACATACTCAACCTTAGCGGCACGTAGCCCGCTTCAAAGTAAAAATGTCAAAAGTTTTTTCATAAATATCTCGGTAACTAAAGCGAGCGACGATTATATCATGTACAGAAAAAAATTGTTCAAAATCGTGATACCGATAACATATTTGAAAATCATCGAAATCGGTAAGTTGGATTCTTATCTGCATGATAGTATATAATTAGCCTTTTTCAACGAGGTACCCTACACACAAAGGCACTGATTCAGAATGACTTCTTAAAAAAATTGGATCGACATCGCATTTCGCAAATATTAAATACAATGTATACATATATAGCATATAAATATATATATACTACGTATATATGGCGCATAATGAATCCGAGTTCAAAAGATACTCGATTCTGAAGCATGTAGTATGACAAATACGGTACCTGAAATCTATACAGAGAACTATCATCCCTTACGGTGAGTGTCTTGGAGTCATTCACCGGGAAGAAGTAGCCATACTGGCAGAGCTGATTGGCAATATGGACCGCCTCTACTGTCAACATAACAATTTACTTTCACAGCTGCCGGAATCGTTGAATACATTTAATTGAACGGAAGGCATTAAGTGATACCTAATCACGTGCAACTTATCTAGTCTTTGCCGTATTGCGCGTACATCGTGTGATGAGTAGCAATTAACACGGCCAGCCATTGATTCGGAGCGAATATTTAGAGCGACGCATGCTGTTTAATCATAAGAAAGCCACATCACTGAAAAAAAACTAATTTTTTCTCTTTGTTTCGAAAACATAAACAAATTCACCACTACACAACCGAAATTCTCTATTCAACATATTTTTTTCACAAGCAATTTCTCAGCTCAAGCGAATGTGTGTATCTTTAATTATATTTTGTTTAAATAATCCTTTATTCCATTAAATTCAATGAAAAGACAATGCACATACACAACTGATCAGAACAAAACTAAACTAATGAAAACTAAATTAACGGGGCCAGTGAAAGGAAACGAAGTGCAATACAAGAAACTTGAACTAAAGAACAAGAAACAAGTAACTAAAAATAAGGTAATAACGATAGGTACAAATTCATACGAATTATAGAATCTTCAAACACTGATAGCTGAATCCAGAATATACAGGGTGGTTGGTAACTGGCGGTACAAGCAGAAAGAGGGTGATTCGGTTTGTAGTTTTAAATAGATCTCGTTTATCATGATACCTTTTTCCTACAAAAGAAAATTGAATATCGTGTTAATAAAAATAAAAGAATGTTTCTATCGCGAAGGACGCACAAGCTTCGAAAATTCTTTTCACCGTACTATTGCCCTTGTTGAAAATACAATCACGATTTTATCTTTAATAAGATTTGTTAAAAAGCTATTTAAACGCATAAATTGACTATGGCAGCTATGAAATAACGCTACTTCATCTATCGAATACCACAACCATCTTTTCTATCGGTCTAGTTGAACGCATTGCTGACCGATGGATCGTAATGCATCTTCCATTTCACTTAGCGACATATTACACTGCACTGTTTTAGTTTAGATATAGTATATAATATATCCGAGTTAAAATATTTCCAATATTATTATAATAATGATACATAGTTGAAAACGAGATACAATATCGATAATGTTGATATTTACGAAAAATTCAAAATTTGGTCGCGATGGAAGAAGAATTTTCGAGTAACGTAGAAAAATGATTTAGACAACTCAATACCGGCAGTAAAAAAATATCATAGAAAATGTGAAGTATACTTTAATACAAATATTCTCATATACCATTGCATAAACTCATTTGTTTCGAACAATTTCCTTCTAATGCTGCAAAAGTATTAAGTACTTCGCTTTCATTCAACGAATAAATATTCGTAGGCGTACTTTATACAGGGTGGTTGGTAACTGGTGGTACAAGCGGAAAGGGGGTGATTCTACGCGAAAAAAGAAGTCGAAAATATAGAATAAACATTTTTCGTTCGAGGCTTTGTTTTCGAGAAAATCGGTTTTGAATTTTCGCTCGGTACGCGTGCACTTTATCGCGTCTCGTTATAACGGATCTCACTGTAGATCGTTGTCTCGATGGAAAAATTTAACAAAAAAAAAAATTTTTATTCTATATTTTCGACTTCTTTTTTCGCGTAGAATCACCCCCTTTCCGCTTGTACCACCAGTTACCAACCACCCTGTATAAAGTACGCCTACGAATATTTATTCGTTGAATGAAAGCGAAGTACTTAATACTTTTGCAGCATTAGAAGGAAATTGTTCGAAACAAATGAGTTTATGCAATGGTATATGAGAATATTTGTATTAAAGTATACTTCACATTTTCTATGATATTTTTTTACTGCCGGTATTGAGTTGTCTAAATCATTTTTCTACGTTACTCGAAAATTCTTCTTCCATCGCGACCAAATTTTGAATTTTTCGTAAATATCAACATTATCGATATTGTATCTCGTTTTCAACTATGTATCATTATTATAATAATATTGGAAATATTTTAACTCGGATATATTATATACTATATCTAAACTAAAACAGTGCAGTGTAATATGTCGCTAAGTGAAATGGAAGATGCATTACGATCCATCGGTCAGCAATGCGTTCAACTAGACCGATAGAAAAGATGGTTGTGGTATTCGATAGATGAAGTAGCGTTATTTCATAGCTGCCATAGTCAATTTATGCGTTTAAATAGCTTTTTAACAAATCTTATTAAAGATAAAATCGTGATTGTATTTTCAACAAGGGCAATAGTACGGTGAAAAGAATTTTCGAAGCTTGTGCGTCCTTCGCGATAGAAACATTCTTTTATTTTTATTAACACGATATTCAATTTTCTTTTGTAGGAAAAAGGTATCATGATAAACGAGATCTATTTAAAACTACAAACCTTGAATAAGAACGAGCAAAGGGTGGTGGTTCTTTAACTTTCTACGAGAATCAACAGTGATAACTACCTAGGATACATTACCTTCTTGTTTATATATCTATCCTGTCAAGAAGGACCCATTAAACTGTAATAACTATAGAAATAAACAACAAAAAATACATGTATATCGCATTATGCGATATGTCTAAAATATTAATCCCCGCGCGCGTTTGTATGTGTGTATGGTTAAAATAAATATCATAAAATCTCCCTTCTTTAGTTATATATACCGAAGCAGTTTCTTTCACAGCACCGGGCTGAAAGTATGTTCGATCAACATATGCTACCAGAACGGTTTAAACGCGCAACGCATAAATGTGCGCACTATGGCACATGTACATATAATATGTGTACGTATATTAATAAGAAAATTAATCGAATTAAAATCAAATTCGATTAATTATGAGAGTCAACAAAAAGTGACGATCAGTGTCATCGATACGTTATTTAACGATTTCATTGCAATTAAGGACGCCTGTAGAACGAATCTGTTACATCGTTTTCCTATTGCTTCTAATCGTATAGTTGTATCTTAGAGGCCACTTTATGCTCTTACCTTTTATACGATATAATTATTTACTTCCAAATTTAACAATTACTTTATTCGTTGCAAGCCGAAGCCATAAACCGAAAAAGCTTATGTTTCAAGAACACATATCGTAAAGAAGCATATCTCACCAAATGAAAGTTATAACTGTATAATAATACAAGTGTCTTGAAAAGTGTTTTTAATTGAAACCTATTAAAGATGAAATTAATGGGTTGTATTTTAAGTTCAGCTAGTACATACTTCCTATTTCCTTACTATCAAATCTTGATATTTATAAATCAATTACAGTCCATTGTGTCCTCGCTGCTGTTGTTATTTTCATATTAGATTATCGTCAAGGTAAAGAGTAAAAGGTCGTATTTACCGACAAAAGTAAATTGAATCGCCGTAGGTCGAACGAAATAACCCAGAGACATTGTATCGATGACAAATACAATAAAAAATGCTTTAAATTTAACTTGTTCGAGTGTTCGTTTATGTGTCACCGTAGATCTAAATCATTTTTTTTCTTTTTATTTCAATATCGTTAAAAATGTTTTTTGCAGTTTATCAAAGAATGCTGTTTGGTTTGGATTAGTCAGATTCTTTTTTTAATTATACAAATGTACAAAGTCGAAGATACGAAGACCGAAGACGTATACGTAACTACAAACACGCAAAGAATTACTAAGAAAAGTTGACGTATGCTGCCATTATAACGCTAGAACTGCAACTTAAATACGAATATATAATTGTAAAATGCGTTATGGGACGGCCGATATTACGTCGATAAATGTAAGATTAATAACAACTAGTTGTTCAGGAACAAAGCATTATTAGCAGTAAACTTAATAAAAAAATAAAAGCAAATTAAACGAAATACATTGGAGTTATTATTTTATTACTTATAATATTATCGAGTTTATAGTGTATGCATGACATTTTTTGTTCAGAATGACCTGCTGGACACGTTGGTAAAATTTATCCAACGCCTCGATTGACACTTTGTATCTACATATACAGGGTGAGGCAATAAGAATATTTCCGTTATTTGTAATGTTATGAAAATATATTAATATATAGAACAAAACTTGCAAAGTATAGGGGGGAACGTACTGTGATGCAAATGCTTTTCGTATGAACGGTATAAAGAAGATTTTAAGGTCATATCCTATTTTTTTAAGCTAATTTTTTTATCTTGGTGTAATAATTAGCCGGTATTGAGACAACTGGCGTTACGACATATCGCCCTCTATACCGTACCAGTTTCGTATATAGACATTTTTTACAACATTACAAATAATGGAAATATTCAGGGTGGATATAGTTATCGCCCTCTATATATACATATATATGTTCAAATTTTTTAACAAATGTATCGCAGATTGCAGTGGTTTTGTATTGTATAGTCAATTCTGTAACCGGATCTCATGTCCTATATATTTCTTTCTATAATGATATCGGATTACACAAAACAAAAAATAATTAGGACATTAACTGGGCTGATATTCTTAATCTTATTTTTATTAACGCAGAAAAATGACAGATTGACTGGCATAGCTTGGACAAAGTTAGTAATAATAAGAAATTTGAAGAATTTTTATTTAATTATCGAAATTGGAAACATTTGGAATAAAGTCCCGTTACGTTGCTACCGATATCTAAGTACTCGCTTGCCAGAAAGACAGAACGAACAGGGAACGAAAAAATGACTCGATGAGAAATAGTCTTATTTAAGTGCTAAAGGATAGGAAGTTTACAAAGTTTCGATGTTACAAAGATTTCAAGGCTTTGTCTTCCGAAACTACTTAGTTCCGGATGTAGATACATTAAAAATCAGTAAAAATATATAATTAACAATTACTATCAAGCGTTAATAGCAGTTACACGATGCACTCGCGCCAAATTTTCACATAGTAAAAGCTGAATCTCTTCTATCGGCATAATACGAATAAAGATCACAGGGACGCTACGAATAGAGAAGGAAGGGCAACAGAAGAAATAGAAAACCGATACGATACCTTTGGCCTTAGGTTATCTAGGATGGTAATAATATATGTATATTCGACGATTTAGGGAAATAATTAAACTCAATTGGCAGTTAACAATTCCATGGAACGCAACAGGCACAATAGAAATATAGAAATACGACATAAGAAACGTGTGATGAGAAACATTTTAGCACGAAACGTAAGTGAGTCAACAAGACACTAATTCGCGGAAAAATCTAGATAAGCAACAATCCATTCCATATACGAATTTCATACCTGATTCCTCGATAGAAAGCCGCTCTATCAGCCACTCGATGAGATCGTAACCTGCAACACGCAGGCAGCCTACTGTAGTGTCCTGGCCGTGATGGCCGCTTACGTTTACTCCACAACGTAGATACCGATGGCACTCACCCATGAAAGCTGAGGGAATTGAGGTGAGAAATTGTTTTTGGCTGCGCACGGGTACCCCGTTCTCAGGGTCTTGCATCTCCCGCACCAGCCCCTCCATCTGTAATAAATACAGTCAAACGATTAATAACGGTGGTATACTTCGTATTCAAGATGGTTCTATCCATCTCGTTTCCCCATTTTTTTTTTTCTTTATGGCGTAATTGATCTTTTTTCCTTTTACTTTAAAACATACATCTTTCGAGAATTAATCTAGATAACGATTAAAACTATCTCATACATAAATCTATCTATACATATACATATCTCTCGATATCATTGTGAAATTCGTCCAAGTCAATAATCGAACAAAATTAAATTTGTTGCTTTAATTATATGGTGATATACATATTTCAACCCCATATTTCTGTTACAATAATATCGACGCATTTGTGTCTAGTAATTAGGTAAATGAAATAAAGTTAAAAGAAGTTGTCAATTGTACGATTAGAATTGTTAACCAATTTCATTGGAAAATAAAATGACTGCTTTTTCATCGTATCACCACATCGGTTCAGGGAAATGAATTTTACCTAATTATTCATAATGCACATTAAATTTTAATAAATTTGACTAAGTATTTTAGATATTTTACTCGAAAAAACGTAATGATTTAAATATCTTGAAAAGAACATAACTTTGAACATTTTCATAATCAGCGGTACATAAATGTAAATACTAGAGACGCGAGGGTGCACGTATGTTCGAAATTGGGGCGGTGTTAAGCGGTGTACAGCTTAGCCACGCCACGCCACGCCATCCCACGTAAAGAGATAATTGGTGCCGTTTGACTTAAAGTAAAAACGTGGTGCCGAGCAATCTATCTGTACTCTATCTAGGCAATGCTATCCCAGATAAAAGGATAATTGGCGTCGTCAATCTGGGGTTGGGAATGCAGATGGCTTGAGCAGCCGTTTTCTCTTCGCCAGTTGTTTTCCGCCTACGAGCGTGTCACGTAAAATTAAGGCTTAGGTTTTAAAGACAAGAAGGTTGAACCGTAACACCGCTACTATCTTTCTTTTCTATCGAAATTCTTCCATCGAATTCTTTTCTATTTTATTATGAAGCTTGAATATCACAACTGAATAAGCACAGTTTACGCGACTGATCTGAGAGATGTTGACTGGTGAGAGTTTGTAGTTTCAGTCCAGAGGTGTTCTCGTATTATTACGGAGGAAAGCTCGGTGCGGGTGTACCCTTTGAACTAACAACGCGGATTCGTTGTTCACACTTTTCGTTAGAAAAAGTGAGGGTAACGATCCGCGATGCCAATTGGTTATAGCCCACGTTAATAAATGAAGATAGGAGGAGGAAGCCTCCTACCAACGTGGCTCGTAGTATAAATAGGGGATATAAAGAACCCCAAGCCAGAAGTCAACTTACGAGCTTTTTTCTTTTTTATTATTTAACTTGTACTTTACAATTTGTCCAACTGGACATTTGGTAAATTTTTCTAACTTAATTGCTAAATAACATGTGGATGGCTAACCTCAGCGGGAATACCATCTTCGAGTTTGACTATTTTATTTCTTTAGTGAGATCAGTGGGGTGATTTTTTTTAGTCTTCTTTCTATGAGAGTTTTGCTCGTTTCAACAGGCAGCTGGTTTGGATGTGTTGCCGTTCATTCCTTGTATTTCCGTCCTGCGTACCTGCCGATTTCTTCTTTGACCGTTAGTATTTTTAATTCTTTGCGTATAACATCGTTTCTGGCATTGTTTCTGACATTATTTATGTGGCTCATTGCTGCTGTCCCCCATAGTGGTATTCCGTACGTCTAAATTGGTTTTATTATCGCTTTGTAGATTTTTAGTTTATTTTTTAATCTACGAGTGCCGAGGCTATCCCTAAATTTCCGGTACCCCTAAATTTCTGAATGTACCTCGAACCTTATAATAAACATGTTATAACAAGCACACGAGCGTACATCATTTCATAACGGACCAAAAAACGTTCGGGCGGGATCTCGATACACCCGTATTGTTCGGGTTCTCAAAAGTTTCGTGATCCTACTTCGACTCGAGTATAAGCATGAACAGGCAGTATAAACATTATTAACCATTGACTAAGAAGGAGATAGAAGTGACGTTAAATGGGACTTTGTGTCTCAGATTCTGAAATACCGATCTGGGAAAGCTCAGAATGTTTCTTATGACGTAGTTACATGAGTTGAACAAATTCTCGCTGCACTCTAGTAAAATCAAAAAGATGAAAGAGGCAACGTCTATGCCTTTGTCACAGAGTCATAAATTAGCAATAGAAAAATCAAGGAGGCCTAACGAACATCCCACAGGGCATCGAAACAACAACGTAGACAATGTCCCAGTGTCAGAAAACAGTAACATCCCGGCAACACCCCGGCGACACCCCGTTCATAAGAGTCAAACCTATAGTATACAAACCTTCCTAAAATCAGATCCCGAGTCACTCTGTTCAATTCACGTAATAAACTCTGCCACCATATCTAAAGTCTGAATTTTTCTTACCTTGTTCGTAAAACGTTTAAACCTGTGCGAAATCATTCGAACGACGAGAGGAAACGACCAGCGATTTCTTAATTTCATCACTTCCCGCGTCTTCGACGTGACACGTATATGCTATTATGAGGTACGCATATGTTAGTGTCACGACCGGCATACTTCAAATCCGACGGACTGACGATAGAGATAAAGATGTGGCGGCACTCGGCGACAATGTATATCGCTGAAGTGCCTAATGAACCATCAACATCCCAACGGTCCTTCCACCGAAGGTTGTAGAAGAAAGAGCACGTGGCAACGATCGCGGACGCCTAGCAAATGCATGGACGGTGGGGATGTTGAGGGATGACAAAAGAAAGTAATCGGATCCGATCGAAAGTAAAATCATAAGAGTCTGTCTTAGAAAGTCACGCCTGGAGTTCGAAAGTAGATTGTAAAGTGTATTGTTGTTAGAAAACAAATAAAGTTTTCTTTTTTTATTTTTCACCTCAAATTCCTTTTTTATTTTGTTATTTTACGTGACATTAGCGTCAACAGTTTCAAGGCTATAATTTTTCAAAAAGGTAAGTTACGGAAGCGAAGTTTAGTTGGCGATTAGCAAAGGAGAGACAAGGAAAAAATGAAAAAAAGCAGACGCATTAATAACATTTAGAGCATAATAGAACATTAATAACATTAAACGAGTCGGAAATAGAATTTTCTGATTGCAAAAGAAATTATTAAACAGTTTGAAATGTTGATCTTGAATATAACTTCTATCGTTAGAAATGGGCTTGATCTAGGTCCAATATGAGTCAGAATAGTGGACGAAGAAAAATTCAAGATATACAGTTTAAAATAGACGCGGTCTCTCTGCCTATTTAGCAGGAAATGTTGAAACGAAGTGACATAGTGTACTGATAAAAAGTAGCTAACAGAAATTGGATGATGAAAGCCAGTTAGAAAATTCTTGACGATTTTTGGCAAGATCGGCAAAACGACTATACGAAAAATGGACGCCAGTGGCTAAACTGTCGCATAATTTAGAGATTGTGCTATTAGCCACGTTTCCCAGATATCGGAATTTGGGTACCGATTTTTTTAAAGCTGCATCGTTGATCAATCAAGAATATGATACGTATGCAGAATACGCGATGGAAAAAATTTTCTTTTGAGAAAAACCAGATAAAAAATATGCGAAGAGCAAATTGTTGAAATTATAATCCGGCTCAATGAGACGCTTTCTCGTTATAGATGTGGAAAATTATAGATAGAAGAGAATGCTGCACGTACAGACAAATAGCCTGATAGTGTCAAACAAAACAAAAAGATGATTCCAAAGTTACAAAATTGCAATGACGTTATGACTGCAACAAAATTGACCATAATGATAGAAGTGTCGATATAAACAGCAAGCTATGAAGAAGAGAGAAATCAAGGTAGTTCAGACAGGTCGTCTGCACATTACGCGATTAACTACACGAGACTACGTTGTTTCAACTGTTGCGGCACAAGGCCTTTGTAACCGTCATCTTGCTAAAATTACGACTAACGACGAACGTGTAACATCAACCACATCGCAATCCACATCAGAGACCAGGTCGCACACCGAGGGCAAGATGGCAACCGGATGTCTACACATCCGCCACAACATCGTCACTAGACTTGACTGATTTTTCATCTTTCGAACACTTAACATCTCTTTACCGGGTTTCTACCCTCAGATCAGTCGCCTACTTAATTTGTATAAAGTTGTTAGAGTAAAGTGTAATTTATGCGTGTCAATTCAGTGTATACTCAATTGTGACTATTAAGTGCATAATAAAGCGTAATAAAAAGAAAGTTAATGATTGTGTTTCGATTCAACCTTGTTATTTTTATATAATCTGACTTGTGACTTGTGATTTTACGTGACAAACGCGACGCGTTTCGCGGTCCTGGCACAATGATTCTCTTTCCAGCGGCTTCTTTGCTCCTTATTATACTATCGCGGAAAGACCGACGAAATATATACAGTGTTGCGATATAGCGTAAGTGCCGACAGGTCGAAAGGATCGGAAACTTCAATAGGCCTAACGGTCCGTCAATATGACTTCAGTACCGCAGTTGGTAGTTAGTCAGTCGGGAGTCAAGAGTCAAATTAGAAGGAAGTTAGTCGTTGCAACGGATCAGTAAAGTCGACAGAGAGTTCGAGACAATATCAATAAACGCACTATTTTGAAGTAATACGCCGAGTAGTCCTTTGGCACCCTTCACGCCCTACATCTCACAACCTTGATAGATTCAGCCGCATCATTTTCTGTTGAAGTAATTACTTCAGGAAAAACTCTACACCTTCTCTTTCGTATATGGAGACCACTGTTACGAAGAAAATAGAATTTAGTGAAACAAAAAATTGGAAATAAGGAGAGATCCATATTATTGTGCCCTTGGATATAAATTTTGTTTTGGCTTAGAAGATCTAGAAACAAAAGAGCTATAAGTAGATATCTATAGCTGTTTCTCGTAGCCTTCAGCTAGAGCTACAAGATTAACTTTTTGGTAATGTCCTTTGCTATAAATATATGAACGTGCTCCCTATCATTCTTCTTCCTATTGTATTATAACACTGTAAGAGTGAAGATCTGGATCAGCATACGCTATACCTGTGCTTATACTTATACTCTTATTTATTTCAATATATTTTTCTATTACAAATTCATCCACTCGTTCCCCTATCAGTCAACCTCAACAATTTTCACCGCGGGAAGGAAGTGTTAGAAGAATCGGAGGGTGCTATGAACGATGCACATTAACGTTATGTAGAATTACTGAAGGCATAATTTGCAAAAACCGAAACAACGTTGATTGTACATAGTGCAAAATCTATACTTCAAACATTCTATATTGTACCGAATAGAGAATCATTGTACGAAGCTATACTACAAGTAAACACCATCTCTGGTACGGATTTAATTTTCAAAACATCAATGATACGGAACCCGAATTGTTTGACTTCCGTTTAAACAAAAAGAAGAAAATACATCCAGAAACGTATTTGGATATATTTATTTAGATTGGATTAGAAAATTATTTAACTTTGTTCAAACGTCCCATCAAAAATGAAAGAAGAATTGTATTACGTTTTGATGGAATATTAGTAATTAGTAATATTAGTAATTACAGATGACAAGATTCGCGTGGTAAATACCGGAGAAATATATTAGAACGACCACAGAGATACCAACAACTTATCCCAACATGAGATAGTACGTAAAATAATCAAGGATCGAAGAATATTAGAAAAGATAATTATTCGTCAATTCGTCATAGACAATCGCCGTATACGAGCTCAATTATATCAGTAAAGAAAAAAGATGGAAATGATAGATTATGCGTGGATTACCGAGCTTTAAATCCTACAACAGTAAGGGATCGGTATACTTCATCACGGATCGATGATTAACTTGATCGTCTAGAACAAGGTAAATACATGAAAATTCAAGAAAGCGGTTTCGCTTTCATCGTCCCCGATGGGCATTATGAATATTTAAGGACGTCGTGGCTTGACTTTACAGTCATACGACTACAAAATCCATTATCGAATATTCTTTTTTTCTTTTGCAAGAATTTCACAATCAATTCTCATTGAGAATTATAAGTAAATTATTCTGGTATGGTATAATACGTGGTATAAACGTGAATAATAAGTGATTATCGTATGTTTGATTCTAGCTGAATCGAATGTTTAGATCTAGAGGATAGTGTCTTTTTAGCCTGCGAATCTGATCCGTCGTGTCAAGTAATTGAATGACTAATGGGTTTTGGTGGTTGTTAACTCTTATGTTATTACTGAATTTGGATATTTCTTCTTTAACTGTAGGTATCTTAAGGTCGCGATGTATTGTTTCGTTGATAGCCTACCAAAGTGCATCTATTAGATCTTAGTGTTTTGATTGGAATCGTTGAAAAATTTCTATGTTGGAATTACTCGCTCTTCCCCATAGTTGGATCCCCATTATCGAATATGACATCATTTTCATTCGCATTGCCGCGAATGACTGCCAAGTCAAGGTGCGAGTCACTACGGCAGAGTCACACGCTCAGAAGCAGTATAGAGTAGATAAAACGTCCTGCATGCCATAGCCATCGAAATAATAACCAGATAGTAACAGAATAGCCGCGTCTGATATACATCCGATAATAACCTCTCCACAGGGGCCAAAACTTAGTGTAATAATCCTCTCAAATCAGCATTCAACACCTTTTTCTTCTAACACACTGAACCGTCACTCTGTTGGATTCGTACAATAAATTTTATTACCGTATCTAAAGTTCAAATTTTTTTACTTTACTTGTGAAACGTTCGAACTACGACGCGAGATCACCCGTGATCTGTCAATTTCATGATTTCTTGTATCTCCTACGTGACAACAGACTAATCGCGCGCGATTACGAAGTACGGATATGGAATATATACATGCTATACCCACGTTCGGAACAGTCATGCGCGACTAAATGTCATTTTGTTGTTAGAATGTGAGGAGTCCTCACTGAGGATGTGTTAATATATAACACTATCAACTTATAATGCTATATCACATTATTATATAATTGTTGAGATATGTATAATTTTCTGTGCTGGACTAGGTTAAATGCGTAGTAGAGATACTTGTATGCGAATATCAGTGTGTAGAAGTATGTGTGTCCGAAGCGTCTCGAAAACAAAGGAATGTAAACCTATCAGTCGGTTAAGAGTCGGTTAACAGTCGGGTATAGATGAAAGTGCTGAGACGCGTGCAAGTGTGTATCGATGAATATATAAGGAATCGTTCATGAAATAAATATTTCATTATTTTAATATTAATCCTCAGTATAAATTTAGTGTTCCTATAACATTATTTCGGCTTCAAAGATCCACAATTTTCAACAATAATAATACATGTAAACTCTCTAAGAGTTCAAATGCGAATACGTTTGTACGACCGTCTCTCGACGCACGACTTCTTTTGTTTCACGGACAGAGCGGCTTTCTTTGTTTTACGGAGAGCCATTTTGAGAGACACGCATTTCCCAAACGTACGGACAGAGATCAACATCGGAGATAGACAAGATCACAGAAGAAAGAGTAATTATTTAAAACATTGAAGACTCAGGACGTAGCTCAGGACGTTGAAAATCGATTCTCGATTTTCAGGTAGACATTGTACAGAACTTGCTATTTATTGTTTACTGTCATTAATTGGTTGTTGTTTATTTAATTATTACTGTTATTAATTGTTGTTAATTATTAATTGTTGTTTACTTCTGTATTTCATTTACGTGTTTTCATTTAATTGTTTAAAATAAACAATTTTATTTCTGTTTTTCAACCTACCCAAGAACTTTTTTATTTACTACTAATAGTTTTTCGACGTAAATATATATATAGGTTAAAAACTTTTTATAAGGAGTGCCATGATAGACCGATTAATGTGTTAAAAAACATATGATCCCGTTGAAAAAAAATTAAGTTAATCTTTGTTCGATTTCACTCATTCATGAAGATTCAAAATAACACGTGATTTACGGCTGGTTACTTCTGACAGAAAGATTTAACTTTTTATCATTTGGCTAGTAACACTCAGATGGTACACAACCTCGTAATAATTTCGACAAACAGCGTGCATTTTGAAATTTTCCAAACGCGGTAAAAGTTTGCTTACACCAGTGTTTCCATAATCAAAAAATTTGTCTGTCAGGACCTTCGACGTAACAAATGGAAAAGAGACCTAACTCGAACATGATTCTTGTCTTCTGTTTTTATAGTTTATATAGGTTTAGACTATATACCATTTTATTCGACTGCCGTAAGGCGACCAGAAACCAATATCGATGCATATGCTATTGTACAGTATATACAGACGCAAAATTATAAACAGAGTACACTGTAGCGGTAGTAACAGTTCTTTGCGAATATCTTGCAAACCTAGCAGCAGTTATATGTACAGAAAAAAGTTGTTCAAAATGCTGAGTTCTACGCAAATATACAAAAATCGAAATTAGCGAGGTAAATGAGACATCAACAATTAAATATTTCCCTACACATATAACCAGAGATCTCACGTAGCCGGTCTTTCCGAAATATCTGTAAGAAACTAAGATACCGCTACAGTGAATCCTGCTTATAATTGTACGTCTAGTATCGATTGCCGGTTGCCGGTCGCTTATCTTCTGTCTATAAACGAGGTCAGGCGAGATTAAAAATCTCATGTACAACGTTCATATGCTAGGCTGTAAAAGACATCTGTTACAACTTATAACTGAATCAAAAGTGAATATCATCAATGTACATATTGGGTTTGGGTTCGGGTTAGTTTTTTCAAGTTCAGTTGCCTCACGACATCCAGCAACGCTTTCGTTAAATAATGACAAATTATGTCGTTGTTTATTACTTAAACCTATAACCGGCTTCCTCGCAGCGTCCGAGTCAGGAATACGAGCAACACGGGTATATGTACACATGTACCAAGAATCCCTCCCAAACTTTTCTCCACCCGTTGCAATCTCGATACGTGTATCCGCACACCTCTAATATATTAAAATCCCGCCAGATCTTGCCCGAACTGTTTTCGGCCCATTCCGAAGCTCAGGATCTCGATATATACTCGGGACGAATCGCACACCTCTAGTAACTTCGCGCGCGCGTTTGTGTATCCTACGTATATCCATAAGCATAGACTCTCTTAAAATTTTCCAACTTAATTATTAAGACTTAGCCAATCGCGCGCGCCACAGCGAGCTATACGTTTCCCATTGCGCTCGGACAAGCAAGCCTATAACCTAACCCCAATCTATAACGCTGTCCACCGCGTGTTTTCCCGGTATCAAGGACTAATATTCACTACTTAAAAAACAAAGAAGTCTAAAAATTATTTAGGTGGTCAATTATACTTTGCGGTAATGATTTTATTTAACGATTTCACATATTGTTTATAAAAAACGTCAAATAGAAAGGATATATTATAAATATAAAAAATATAGGCAGGATTAAAAACATTAAGGATGACTAAAGATAAATAACACGACTTGAACGTTAAATTAAAAATTCATAATGCATTTTAATATCTGTTTACAATGTGGTATCGATCGATTATAACCTTACTTAGTCATAACTGATAGTGTAACTTTGTAATTAATTTTAACACCACTAAATTGGTGTATTTTATTATATACTGTACTTTATAAAAGCAGAAAAAGTGGTGCAATTGATTCAGGGCAATTCCAGGTAAACAATAACTGGTAATAATCAAAACAAAACAAAAAAAGAAAACGCGTTGCAAAAGTCAAAAAGGGAGATCTCCCCGTTCGGTCACGCAGCGATGTACTTTACAGAGGGGAGATCTCCCTATTCGGTTGGCTAGGGCTTAAACCATAAAACGATGTTTGATAAAATGAAAAATGACTGGAAAATTTTGTACTAGTATCAATATGCGAACTGTGAATCAAGTTTAAATAATGCAGCTAGTACTCTATTCATAATGTGTAAATAAGAAATTCATAAACCTTGTCGAAGGCGTAAGGCCTGTGAACGCGTGGCTCCTTCTTCTGTTGTTGATTATTAGAGGCCTCCATCGCGATCGAGGCGGCCCTCTGCGACGCTGACAGGAGCTGTGGCGGTATCGATGGCGGAGGGGGCTGGGGAGTTGGGCTGGAGACGGGTCTACCCGAACTCCATGGGGCTCTAGCCCCATCCCATCACTCCAGTCACCCCCGCACGCCCACTGAAATTTGTAAGGAATTATTCATTTCACATTGTGTTTTTACATAATTTTCATATTTTTAAGCTTAATTATAATACTACTTATAACAAGGCTAATTAATAGTTCAACGTTATCGGTATGTGCTAGCTGATGATTCTAACAAATGAGACAAGCTGTGTGTAGTTCTCAATTTTAAGTAATATAATGATTAGAAACAAATCGCGCAGAAAAACCTTTCACTGTTTAACAAACACTATGTATATGGCACAATTTTCTTTTACCAATACATACATCTTCTTATCGTTAAATTCAAAACATTTATATATGCTTGATTACTTTCTTAGTTGTCACGATACAAGAAAATGTTTCGAGAAGAATCTGTTGTATTTTAGAGGAAAGATTAAGTTATAAGAGTGAATGTCATCTGAAGGTCGTATCTTCTGAAAGCTTTTAAGTAGAGTGAATTAACTTTTTGTTTATATTAGAAAAGTGAAATCAATACGCATCCTAACCCCAATCATGTCCCATACTATGGCCCTGAAAAGATCTGAGTCGAAAATTTGGCAAGAAATTGACTGAGGTGAAAATTCGCAGAAAATTAATTGCAGAAACAAAATAAACATCTTAATTGCATTATTTTACCGCGCGCTGAGAATGTTGTCCTCCAAATTCAATACACTTATACAATACAGACTAATGCATGACTAGCTAGCTCTTTTTATTGTATCCGAAGATAAACTTGCACATTGCACGTGCGTTGGAAATACGGATTTTTATGCCTGCAGCCGTTATAGGAAAGTTGAGCACATATTAAACTAATAAATAGTATGATTAAAGTGTTTATTTTGTTTCCGTAATTCATTTTTCGTTTCCGCCTCAGTCATTTACTTCCGAAGTTTTCAGCGATAGGTTGTTTCAAGATCATGGGACATGGTTGGATGAGTTTTGATCTCACCTTTTTAGTAGTAAACGAAAAAAAAGATATTCCATTTAAAAAAACCTTACTATTACTATAAAATCCTAGAGGATTTAACCTTAAGACTATCTTCACACTCATAATCTAATTTCCCCCTTGAAATACAATAACTTTCTCTCGTAATATTTCTTTATCGTGACAGATACAGAGGTAATTAAGAACGACAAAGTTAGATAGGACACACTGTATAAATTTTTTATCGAAATTATCCGATCTACATACTGTTCAATTTAGTAAATTAGATTTATTTACGTAAATTAGAAATTAAATTTAATTTGTAATTAAGCTTTGGTGAACTGAGTGAATTACTTCCTCATCGACTTCAGTGGTCTTGAAATATGTTGTCAAAGTCACCATTTTTAAAAGCTTCTTCCTATACATATATAGGATGGTCGATTTTAGTTTCCGAGTTATACACGAAACTAAGTTTGGTACCATATACACAATGTCTTCGAAATCATGGTACAAATGGTCGCAGGTGGTGATTCCACGTACAAAAATAACATCTTTTCGTTTAAGGCTTTGTTTTCGAGGAAAATGAGTCTGAAAACCTATCAGGTACCACCCGTATATTAACTCTTCACGGACGAGTGTCGGCAAATATGATAACCGCCCAAGTCTTTTTTACTGTTGTGGACAGTTATTTTGAAGTGGCTGTAATTCTATCTTTCTAAGCGGTAATCTTATGCGTATTTACGTATGGGTATAGTAAACTAAACAGTATTATGTTATGAAAATTATAGACCTTTAGAAATCTTATCTTCCGTTTAACGTAAAATCGCGATGGGAATGATGGTCGAGTCAGAACGAATTTCAATCTTTCAATGGCATTACCGGATAAATCAGAAAGCTTATTATATATTTTTTATAATACCTTATACACGATGCCTAAAAGTTCCAAAAAGAACATGTTCGATAGTGATAGTAGTGATGACGAACGCTATTTTGAACCTGACAAGATAGAAGACGACGACAATGCTTTAGACAGTGGAAACGAACTCCGTTCAACAATGAATCGGCTCAGACGTTTCAACGTTTCTAGTAATAGTGACAATGATGATGAACTAAATATTGATGAAAATAATACAAGCCTCGACAATGAATAACGCAAACGTTCAACGTGTATATTTTCTCAACTGCGCGCGCCAATACCTCTCGTCCACAGCGACGCTCGCTCGCCGAACGGTCTTGCCCACAAAGGATTAACTGGAAACTTCGAATTATGAAATTTTTGTTTCTGTTCGTGTCTGTATTTTAAACATGGACAATGTCACGATTGCTTCCTTATTGTTGTTATCTTATCCGCGATATCGATTATTATTTTCCTTTATTCTGTATTTAATTTAAATGGTTTTATAAATGAGAATAACGTTAATACTTTGTAAGTATCCTTTTATTAATTAGGAAAGGAAGAAAAAAATTAATTAGTTAAGACATGGGTACCAGATGGGTTTTCAGACTCGTTTTTCTCAAAAAACGAAGTCTTAAAGGAAAAAATTTTATTCTTTTTTCACTTATTTTTGTATGTAGAATCACCACACGATCGCTTGTACCATAATTTCGGAAACACCTTGTACGTACCTTCTTTCTATATTTTGTACAAAATTGTAAATTAGATATTATAATTATTGCTTATGTACGTATATATATGCACAAATTATAACTGTGTTAATGTAGACGCACCATTATCGGTATTGCCTACGGGCCGTCACTACTTAAATAGCTTAATCCAACCTACTCCTTTGCATTTGAAATTCAGTAACTGGAATTTTTGTTATTTTTTTCACTGCTTATACGTCACTATGAAAATACGAAAATAATCCGTCAAAATTCATGAGTAGGTAATACATCAACAGCTTTACGCAGCATACATGATACCAAAAATACCTCTGTGTATGATTTGAAAATTAGAACCGACCACTCATATATATAGGAAGAAGTTGTTCAGAATGATGATCTTGACAACATATTTTAAGGGCTTCGAAATCGGTAAAAAGGTAAGGTCAGTAATTTGATTAAATTCTTTAATTCATTAAAAATATTAATAGGAAATAAACAATTCTTACGTCTAATTATTCCTCCGAACTTAATCATTTTTTGTTTCCATAGTGCAATACGTTTTCTAAATACTGTACTTCTTGTATGTTTCATAACACATAGTAATAATAAAAAATAACTAGCAGAAAACTGTAGCTTTATGCGGTAAATAAGAGAAAGTGACTTGAGACAGGTTTAATAAAATCTCCAAAATTCGGTACATATTCTATAAAAAGAAACGTATTACTAAAGGTCAGAAACATTATTTTATACGCGAACAATATACACGTATGTATCCACTTCGTAATCAATTCATTTAGGAATTACCATAGATAGAACATAATACATTATTTTTTTATTTTACTGCATACCCTTAATATACGAACGTCAACATTTACTTCTCTTTTAACTATACAAAAAATGCAGCTATTCAATTTACGAACAGTATTATAATTTTATTCTTAAGATTTATACCATTAAATACTTCGACTTCTCGATGTTTACGACAAATTTTTAGTAGTGTTAAATATATACATATATGTAATAGGGAAGGTACCCCAACAGATTAACGTTTATTTCAACTCATCAATAACTTTCGCAATATCTTATTTTCTATTTTCCTTACGAAAATTTGTTATTTTTCTGTGCCCTATTTTTACACATATGTATACTATCGCGCATAAGTATTTGGACTCGCAAATGATTACAAATATATAAAGTATATTTTAAATGAAGCTCTTCGATCTAATTTTTGCCTCTGATCCTATCTCAGGCAAGCATATATAATTAGTACATATTGATAAAAACACTGGTTGATATTAATTAATAGAAATAAATACAGCAATAATTATATGTAAATGAAAACTGCTTCTACAGAAACACCTTAGCTAAAAGTAACTTAAAGTGCATCTGTTCAATGCTTAGATCTTAGAATGATTGGGATATGTGTCTCCAACCACATTCTAAAAGTCTATATAGACTTTTCTAATGCCAGCGGTTTATTAGAAATAAATATAGAATTTAATTGACTCAGATACAAATGTATTTCTTGTTTTAGTTTCATTTTAGCAGAATATTTGGCCCCTATTATGACAAGAAGCAAAGCATTAGTAGTAGAGATAAGAATATAAATATTTTGATTAGATTGTATCCAGTGTCCAAATACCTATGCACGATAATGTAGGTATAAGAATTTCGTTGATTGTATCATCAAAGTATTTGCGATAGAAACGTAATGCGGTAATTAGAATTCATTTAATTGATAAATATGAGATTTTACTCCTTATTGTATCTTGATTTGTTATACGTTTAAATTAATCTACTTTTATTTGTATTAAAAATCTTGGAAACCAAAATGGGATAGAAAGCAATATTGAACACCTAGAAGGAATTGGTTACCAGGAAGAACAATATGATGGAAAGAGAGAGCAAAGAAAAGATTTAAGTAGTAGTATAATAGGCGTTATGTTATATATAAACACTGAAATTTTAAAATAGTCTATAGACAGAATACATATGATATGAATGAAATCGTAGATGAAGAAGAATGAATGAGGAGGACGTGAGTGCGTGAGATAACATAGGAAGTAAGAGATGTATGAAATAAAAGATGTAAAACCGGAAGTTCGTTCTAAACCGCTCTAAGCCAGAAATATGTATAATAAATAATAATAAAAAATAATAAATAAGTATTACACATCTTCTATTGTTAACGGTAGAAATAGTTTTGAAATATCTATGTTTAATACTTGTGTCTTTTTACGTTTAAGAAAACTTACAAAAAATAAATAAGTAACGTCTCTTACCTTCGGTGTCCTTATCATTCAAAATTATATGAAAGAAACAAAGCATAAGCATGTGAAATCGTTTACTACATTATCAATCTGGAGTGTAGAAAAATATTTTATTAAATTAACGGATTTCTATATCATTTTGCTCAACATAAAGAAATATTCATAAAAATATTAGCACTTTACAGTAATATGTAGCTACATAGTCTCTAATTCTTAACAGATATAGCTCTCATTATTTATTGACACATTGTAATCAAAATACAAAATGCATAATACTTTTTGTTCGAACTTATCGCTGAAGATTGATGTCGAAGAAAATATTTCATCTCCTTAATTACTAAAAAATACATGATTATTCTCAAACTTGAACTTTTGCAAGACATGCGTTTCGCACGCAATATACATGACACTACAAACGTAAATTTAAATATTATTCTAAACTTGTTTATTTTAAACCATGAGACAAAAGTAATACTGAACACATCTCAATAATATTTTTATCATATCGATATTGTTTGCATATTACGTATTATGTATAGATCATAAATAATAGACAGCAGTAATGAAGAGGGATACATAATCGCAGACAATCATATAGCTCGATAATACGGAAGTACATTCGCATCGTTTGACTTTCGTTGAATCGTTACTATAGCAATGACGATATCAAATACAGACCGGTAATAATAACAATGCTTGCAATCTTGAAATGTGTGCTAATAAGAAACCTTAAAAATAATTTATTCTTTATATTAATATTAGTACCATGAATTAACAAGCATAAATAGTTGGATTTCGAAATAGTCAAAAGTATTATTATGCATATTATGTGCCCAAAATGGATAAAATGCAAATGCGTGATATTGATGAAAATTTGGTGTCAATTTTTTATTAATAATGTTTTGCGATCAACATTAGGCTTTACAAATTTTTCCATATTCTATTCATTTTCGAAATGCGCGTCGAGAAACTGCGTCGTGACCCGGTTCACTTTCTTTAAGCTTTCGTTCATCGTCAGAATATGTGGTCGATATTTATTGCAGCTGCTTCGTACGATATTTTCCGACTCATTTTTTCACCTTTCCTCTTGAGAGGAATGTTTTCCAGAGAAACAAAAGTCACGCGATATATCTACATAATTGCAACATATTAATCGTAATACTGCGCGTAAAAATCACTTTTCAGTAAATTTATAGTATATTCGATTTAATGATTTCACCGATCAATTGGTGCGGACAGCTGACAGTTGATCGCAAAGCAACGCATAATAAAAAGAAAAAAGAGATTGAAAGAGAACAAAGAGAATATCGAAGAAGTAACAAACATGGAAAGCACATATATCGATGATACTAATTGATAAATACGATGAAAATTGATCGATGGAGACGCGTAATGATTGCGACATCCTTGTTACAGACATGTAATACGCGTGGAAACTTACGGAATTCTTATCGACAAGGACGAATGTAATATTGACAGTGTTGAAAGGGGAAGAAGGAAAAACAAAAGTTCTGACGAGTTTGGTTAAAGGTTGATCGTTAAGATTTATTTAAGTCAAAAATCTATTAACACAATGATAATTAAAGTACTCACTCGACGAGTCAGGGCAGTGTAGCTTCATATACGCGTCTCGTAGTGTATATCAGGCCATCGGAGCAGGGCCGAGTTCGCGGCCTTTCTTCCGCAGCTTCGAATCTAAAGCCACCGTCCGCACTGTGTCGAGGTACACCCGCGCGCGCACACCCGCGCTAGACCATTCTCAACACCAGCACTAGCACCACCAGCAGTACCAACGCTAGCACCAGTACCAACCACGACACTGATGCCGCTAACGCTTCTATGCCAAGCATATTTTCAACGGGACCGTCGACGACACCGACGCGACGCCGTGACGGCGGTCACTGTCGGCCAGACGAATATCAGGAGATATTCGCGGTTACAAAGTGGGGGGACAGATATAGAGGAAAATAGGCTATGTAGTAGGGAAAAAAGGAAGAAAAGGAAATGACTGTCGTGAAACTGGTCAGCGGTCGGAAAACGATTTGACAGCCTCTACACACCTTCGCTACGTTTCTTCCTATTATATATCTGTGTATACGAGCGCGCGCGCGTTTGTGTGTGTGTATGTGTACCTACAAAGCTCTTACTCGTGGTAAACACACATACACACACGTATACACTGTATGTACGCACGCACGCAGCACGCACGCACGTTTCTCTACAGCTGCATACAAATCGCGCACGTTTCTCGAGATATAACACGTTATTGTACACATAAACGCACGCGCGCGCGCTCACACACACACACACACACTCACTCACTCACTCACTCACTCTGCTCACCACAGACTGATTTTCCAAAGGATTTGTCACGTCACGTTTCACTTCATATTATGATGTATCATTGTCAACTAACGATACAGAACATCGCTTATTAACCACGCTGATCTATTAGCAACAATATCGTATTCAAATCTCGATGTCAATTTTGTAGAGGTCGAACCCCGCAAACATGTCGTCGTCGTCACTCTACAACTCCGCTCATCGTCAGTTTAGCTTCGGATATTCTCGTATTTATTCGTCGAGCGTTGTCGCGCACTTTCGGCCAAGGATCGGTTACTCAGCACCCTTTCAGAGCTTTCAGCTTCCGCAGCCTCCTCGTCTGCTAGATCCGTCACTCGTTCAGCGAACAAGTCCGCGCGCCCGAGTTATTCCGAACTTTATCGATGATGAACGCATATACAGAGAATCCTAGTTTATATATGTATATACACATACTCATGCTATTATATAATATGTAAGTACGTTGAACAGTACAGAGGTCGCCTGTGTTCCAACTTCCAAGCAGTATCGTTTATCCACTGATTGCTCCAACAAAAGTGTATTTCACGTTTCCTTGTAATATTATTCTTCTTATCAAGAATGATTGCCAAATGTTTTAAGATAAAACTGTGTTATCCAAGTCAAGAATCAGATATTAAGCATGTCGTGTAAAATAAAAGACAGGGATTTAAATAATTTAAGTAAAATGACAAGTCGGAAAACGAAAGCTTTCCTTTGTCCATACGTTTCAATCATAATAATGATTATGTGTAAAAGTTAAGTTATATCATATTATGTCAAAAAATAATAATAGTAGAATTTAATGTGCAATCATATTATTATCACGATACATGATCTGTTGTCATATTTAAGATAATTAGATAAAGATAACGAAGATGATTTTAAGAAACCTAAGACACTAAATAAAGAAAATAATAAAAACAGGTAATGTAAGTGCAGGAACAAAATATATGGAACATTTCGAAGTATTACGGAAGTCAAACGTATAGCAAACATTCTAATTAAAATCTATTCAATAACTACAGTGGATGAAGTAAGCGTTTGAAAAGAAAATTTATAGCTACACGTCGGTGTTTATTGCAGTTAAACTGAAAACTACAGAGAACTGGAAAGAGATAATATACTCATAAAAAGTAGCACATTAATATAACAGAAAGTATCCTATTACTAAATAACGGTTGCATTTGAAATGTAAAAATCACTAGTACTATATAATGCCATTTTTTATGATATTTTATGATTCATATGTATTGTTCATTGCAAATTATTTAATTAATTATATACCTGCCTAGCAAGTTTTTCAGGGATGAAATAATATTTTCATGTTTTATTGCTCTTTGGTCGTAGGGTGATAGGTCTGAATCCGCCATTGACTTTACTGCAAATATTTATTTGAAAAGAAGACAAAGAGAATTAAAGGTAAAGGAATAAATAACATACCAACATATACAATTTTGTTTTTTAAAGCAAAATTGAAGATAAGGTTAACAGTGAATAATTTGACCTCGACGCAACAATGGCGTCATGGAGGCTAGGAAACTATAACAAAACATTTTGCACATGTGCAGAAATATCCTGAAGCAGTGACGTACAGATTACTTGTAATTACTTTCTGTGTAAGTACATAGTTGTATTGATGTCGATTCTCTTCTTCTTCCATGGTAGTCCCTATTTATGCAAATTAATATTTTAATGAAAATAAAAGTTTTATAAAAGACAACTATGTTTTTTATAGATTTATTTATTTATACATCTAATTCTCAATGTCTTTCAATCATCATCAAACAATCATCCCACATTTTAGATTGCATAATATTTATTGAATGATCATATTCAAGTCATATTAGTGGTCAATATAATACATCACTGTAAATATTTCATTGAAAATAATTTATAACGCTATATAAACATTTCTATTGTTTGTATAGTAAATATTTCTAATTTTTATTTTTTGCATTTATTTATAAAAGCTCATGTTTAAATATTTATACTTGATACTGTAGTGAAAAAGAATAGTTTCGAAGTAGGCTTTATGTTTGAAACCTCTGCATTACGTTATATTACTCTCATATGCTACTGTTCGAGTTTGTAAGTACGTTCTGCAGACTTATTGATCAACGATCAGTATATATTATGTACCGAAGTTCTCCAACCACCATAAATGGTCTGTGTCTTGATGGTTTATCTTTCGTCTCTTAACCAGACGATATAATCGAATGCTTTCTAGCATTATATAATTTTAAGCTTAATTAATAAATGAATTTTTAAATATATTCTAAGTTCGACTCAGTTTGTCGATTTATCAATGTTATTGATCAGTAACTATAAGTAATCGGTCTAAATATATTTAACGATGAAAAATTGTTGTATCTGCCTTGTTCGTCATAAGTACTTTAAACTTTATAATAGTTTATTGCTTAGTTGAAATAAAATATATTCATTATTCCTTTTACAATTATTATTATTGTGTATTATTATTATTTATTTGTATAAACATTGATATATAGTGCATCACATAATGTTTTCGTGATGCTTAACAACTAACGACATTGTCGTGATTATACGGTAACAATGAATGTAGTCATTTTATTTGTATTGCACAAAGCATACACATTTCACAAAAAGGAAGCAGTAAAGCTGGTTGGTCGATGTATACATATTTAAGGTAACGCTTGGTCAAATACTAAATGCTGTAAGAGAAATAATGATAAAATGGAAAATAAATGCATTATATATTCTACTTTTAGTATAGAATCAATTTCTTTCTCAAAGCTTTTGCTTCAAGTTAAATGTTGCAATGTAACAAATTTAACAGGTTTCATAGTATAATAAATTTTCTAGTATAAAAACTAAGAAATTATGTATAAACAATCTGAGCTATTAATTTTATATCAATAACTCAATAAACATATTATTTTCTCTTTTTCTGTATAGTTTTTCTTAAGTGACATTAAATAATATTAATATTAGTTTTATTGGTTATTGAAATATTTTATATCAATTGTAATAATTTTCCTTGAAAAACTAAAAGATGTTATGAAATGAAGCTCGTAAAACTTCACTCATAAATACAAACTGTGCAGCTGAAAAATCCTACTCGACATCTTTTATGACTACCAGAATGCTTCCAATTTTGACCAATACATAACTATTTTTAAAATTGCAAACATGAATTACAAAACAAGCATAAAAGCCATATTAACAGTTTGACTCTGATCATTAGTATGCTATTCACTACTATGAATGTTTTTACCCAGAACATATCTGCTTTAAGCTAGTCGTAATATCCAATGAAATAAAGTATTAAAAGTAGTTAAAGAACTTTTCTTTGGCCTCTAGCTTTTTTAAATGGCAATGGTTAGTTTTAAGTAGTCAATATATCTGTTCGCAATTACAAGAATCTTGATTTGCACTTTGCTTTCTTCACTATTACAAACACAGTAATTAAGTTAATAAAACATTTTGAGTTGACCTTCCGATTATTCTAACATTCTGCTAACTTTGCAAAAACTGAATATTCTTCAGACAAATCAATACCTTTCATGATTATAAATTAAAGTAGGTTTATGTTATGCCAATCATTCCTGAGGATTAGAAGTGAATGCATGGTTTTAAATCTTATTAAGAATATTCAATTTTTTTGTTAATATATAAATATGTATACGTACAATAGACTCGTATCTTTTTCTATTTTTTAATTCAATTGCTAATTCTATCACTAAACATTTTAAAAATTACCTTTTATTTATTCTATCATTATTAAAATTCTTAATATATACTTCTATATATATATATATATAATATATATATAAAATTCTTAATATTCAAATCAAATATAGTATTACTAAAAACAGGACCAATGTACAGTCTTTCTCACAGAAATGGTTTCCCATCATTAAAAAGTCATGGTAAATAGACTTTCACTTCAGAAGCTATACTCCTCTACATTGACTTCAACTTTGTACTGTTGTCATCTCATATTTTCTTAGCATACTTATCTAAATTTTACGCCAGTGTTAGTACAAACATCTTTTACGGAGTAAAGATAATCATGTAAATTATATATATATATAAACAGTCATTTATTTGTATAGGAAACTCTGCTGTGGTTATGGGAGATCCTAATGCCCCATTGTATATATATATAATTAAGAAAATGTTATACTTTTATATATGTGCTAAATTTTAAAGATTTGTCAAAAATAATTTAAAACTGCATATCAGAAATCAATAAAACATTAGCTTTATTTATTTCTTTTATGTTACATAATCCTGATGTATGAAAGTGTCAATAGTTTTAAAGATATAAAATATATTAAAATTGTCTTTTCAACTTGATCCATTATGAAACATAAATATTCAGTATATGTATGTATATGTATAATATGTTTATAACATTCTTTCTCCGTGATCTTAGTGTAGTATAGTGATCTATATATTATGATTTAATTATTATATAATTATGATTATTCTTCAAATTATTATCTCATTCGTTTCTAATGATATACACAGAGCAACAAATCTGTGTCTGTAGATATCTATAGTTCAAAATATAGAAATGACTTTGCTTTCCTTTTATCGAGGTCCATGCACGCATATCAGTAACAATACGTATCACCATAAACAGACACAATAAGTAAAAAATTCTCTTATATATTTGTAATATCCAACAACATTGCATTCAGGAGATAAATTTCAATACCTGTTACTGTAAAATTACTCATTAGGTAAGTAATGTTTGTACATTACATGTCGTGTAATGATATACACAGAAAAATGAACTAATTTATATGATAATAATTCATATATAATTGTTGTCAATTGGAAGGAGATTTCAAAATTATAACAGTTACAAAACTATTGTAAACATAATAAACGTGGACAAAAATGTAATACAGATATTACCGTAGTAATATTATAAGTTTTTCATATCTAATACAAGTTGTTCATCTGTCTATTAGAAAAATATTAAAATATTAATATGGTTGCTAGCATAATATAGAACCTATCTCATATCTATATTGCATATATGGTAAATATGCTTTTAACAGTCCAAAAGTAATGATTAAAATTAATATTTAGTTTTAGAAAATAAAGTAAAATCCTATATACAGTATTTTCGGAAATAATTTCGTAAGTAGTATTATTTTCACCTATATTTAGGTATTAGAAATTAATCAGCTTTTTATGTATGATTTCTTAACATTATTATATTAAAAAGATTAAAAAGAATCCATATATATTGAGCTGGGAAAGTTTATCTTAGATAAGAAAAATATATATAGTTTCTTAGAAAAATTGCAACACGTTCAAATATACTTTACATTATATATAATATCATATTATATATTTATGAGAAAATATAAAGTAAAGCATGCTGGACATAATTCAAATGTCAGTAATCGCATGTACTTAACCTATATTAAAAGGTAGGTTTAAAACTAACTGTAATATGTACATATGTTACGTAGCATTTATAAAAAGAAGAAAGAAACAAGCTTCTTGATTAAAGAATGAAAAAAAGATAATGAAAAATTAATTATTAAAAAGTTTAAGAAGAAGGGAAAGTAAAACAGGCGGAGTTTAGAATGTACGAGGAAGATAGCCAACAAAACAATAAGAAAAGAAAGAGAGAGCAAGGAGTGGTGGCGTGAAATTAAACGCATGCTACTACGGCTACTCGTTGCGTTTCAGTCACTGGATTGCAGGCACAGTGTGAATGCTGTTTCGGAGTGCCTTCGACCGGTCTTGACTAGTGTTAATCAATGCTTTCCATATGAAAGTGAAGATATATAAACAAAACTCCTAAAATATTGCTAGTTCGCTTTTGATTTGAAAAATTTATTTAGTTAAAATTTTCTTTATTTCTTTGGGATATATATTTATTGTACTTATACATTAAGGTTAGAAAAATTATTGGATAAGTTAATGTATCAGAGTGTACACAAAAAACAGTAAATACATAGAATAGGATCATTTATCGAAATGAAGTGAATTAAGACAAGTGAATTAAGAAAACATGATGTCATTTTTTGTTCGTTGAAGAATTCAGATTGCAGTTTTACAGTGCCGACATTGCCAACAGAAGGATTGAAGCTGGTGGCAAGCAGAAACAGGTCATGCGAATGACGTAAGGTAACGGATTTCCGTATGGATAAATAATTTGTAGAAAAGAACAAATGAGGCGACTGAAAAAAAGAAAAAGAAAGCTCTTAGCACGGGTAAAGTGAAGTTTACATATATACTGCTGCACACATGTTATCACTCATATTCCGAGATTTATTTTGTTTAACACTACAAAATGATAATACTTTAGTCTTTGTATTTATTTGAAAATTATTTTTTTTATTACATTTAATTCATGTACCTTTAAGTACAATTTACATGATTCCCAGTAAATGCACATACACACATATATATATATACATATATTTTACGCTTGATACTTTTTCATGTTTTTAGATACTCTTAAAATATTTACAAAGTCGTATAAGTATATACAACTATTACAGATTATATGAAATAATGTTCTAAAGATGCTAACCTTTTATTTAGCTTTAAATGTAAATAAGGTATAGTATCCGGACTGTGAAATTTTAGTTCTGAATGTGTTTTT